ATGCCCCAGGACCCAGCAGCTTCATCCCTGGTACATACAGCAATATGTACACACCTGCACCAGAAAGCAAGTACAGGAGTGCTTGTGGCAGCATGAGTCATCAAAGCCAGGACCTGGAAGAGCCCAGATGTCCCTCACATATGAGGGCTGGTGTTATTCTGCTGCATTCGTGGGGTGGAGTAGCATACAGCAGTGAAAACGAAGGCGTTCTAGTGGATGAGTCTCATGGACAGAAAGTTGAGCTAAAGAAGTCAGGCACAAAGGAATACATTCTTTTTGGTTCCTTGTATAAAGCGCAAAATTAAGCAAAACCAGTCTGCTGTAAGCTGTCTGGCCAGCGATTCAGCCGGTGACTGGCAAGGAGCCCCCAAGGGCTGCTGCCATCTGGTTCTCCATCCATGGGGGCACTTCAGGGATTTGCTTAGGATTCAGGTACTTTTTCGTACGTGGACTGTATTCAAAAGGTAGGCTTATCAAAAGAAAGAATGAGAAGAATGCCTTTAATTTTATGCTTGGAAAATGGTAAATTGGCTCTTGCCATTACTAATAATACAGCAATCAGGAGAGGAGAAGGGGCTTTGAGAAAATTAAAGAATATATATTAAGAAATTAGTTGAAGGCCGGCCCATGGCTTACTCGGGAGAGTGCGGTGCTGATAACACCAAGGCCACGGGTTTGGATCCTATATAGGGATGGCCGGTTTGCTCACTGGCTGAGCGTGGTGCTGACAACACCAAGCCAAGGGTTGAGATCCCCTTACCGGTCATCTTTATAAAAAAAAAAAAAAAAAAAAATTAGTTGAAAAGTCTGTTATTCACAAAAGATAGTATCCAAATCGCCAAGAAATATATGGAGGTGCTTAGCGTCATTTCTCATTAGGGACATGTGAATTGTCAAGAGATGGTGAGACCGCCACCCACTTCCACCGTGAAACGACAGAGCTGCAAGCTCTGCAGCCAGGCACAGCTCTCAGACGGGGCAAGGGCTTGGTCTCCGTTGGGTTGGGGTCTCCGTTGCAGCATGGGGTTCTGAGAGAGATGTGGGCCGACACTGCCTGTGGAGGTGTAGATCCTGGGGGAGACCATGCCGGATACTTGGCCCTCATGTGTCCCGTGTCATCTGCCTTTCAGGACTGAGGGCTGAAGCTCATTTGCAGGGTTCGAAACCATGGCGACAGAGGACTCACTCTATCCCAAGCTTGTGGGGATTTTTGGTCCTCAAGCTCCATCCTGATGGATAAAACAGAATTTAAAAAAGGACACGTGATTTCAAGAGTTGGTAAGGATATAGAAAAACTGGAACTCACACCTGGTTATGGCTGTGGAAATTTGCACAACCACTTTGGAAGACTCTGGGAGGGTCTAACGTGATTTCAAGAGTTGGTAAGGATATAGAAAAACTGGAAATCACACCTGGTTATGGCTGTGGAAATTTGCACAACCACTTTGGAAGACTCTGGGAGGGTCTACTAACACATGGCTACCCAGTAACCTAGCAATTTCGTCCCTAGGTTTATAACCAAGAAGAATGAGTCCAGCTGAAGGACAAGTATGGGAATTGTTTATAGAAGCCTAGAGAAAGTTGGTGTAGCCATGTTGCTAGGCACCACAGTTTATGATAAAAACTTGACTAGTGGATTGTGTGATGCAGATACCTGGTGGTAAGGCTGTGCTCTGGGCCCTGTGGGTAGCCGCTCTATGGCTTCCTACCTGTGCCTGAGCAGCTGTTAGAGGAGGTAGCGGCTCCGGGGCCATGGACTTTCTGAGTTGGGATGGCTCCTGTACTGCCTGGTGCCACCTCCTCATCGCACCTGAGCTCTAGAGTCTCTGCTATAGGGATTCCTCTGGAAGGGGACTACCAGAGGCTGCTGTGTTCTGAGTAGACTGTGCTTGAAGGGCTAGGGGAGTCTTCTGAGTCTTAGAAGGCCCCCCTTTGAGGTGGGGGTGGCATTGCAAGTAGCTTTATCCAGAGGAGCTGAATACTGGAAACATCCTAGACACACACTTAATGGGAATAGGTAAATAAATTGTGGCATTTTCATTGACAAGTGTAATATACAGCAGTAAAAAAGAACAAGCTACTCTCAGACTCAACAAGGAGGAATCTTAATGACATTATGTTGAACAAAAGAAGCATATATAAAAAGAGGACATATTGTGTCACTTCATTTCTGTGAAGTTATGAGATCAGGCAAAGTAATCAATGATGATAGACATCAAAATAGGGGTTACCTCTTTGGAATGGGTCTTGACTGGGCAAAGGGGTGTGAGAGAGAACCTTCTAGGACAATGGAAATATTTTCTCTCTTGAGTGGTGTTTACATATGTAGAAATTCATTGAGCTGTAAATTTAGGATTTGTGCCCCTTGCATACTTCACTGTAGTATTTTGTAACTTATTTTCTAAAAGCAATGGAAAACATATCACTACAATTCTATTTTAAATAAATTTGTTTCATCAGTATTTCTGACAGTCTTAGATGGCCTGCTGCTGAAGGTCTGGCTTCCAGGGAGCCCCTCAGTCAGGCCTGTGGAGTGTACAGAGAAGAAACAGGGTGTCCAGCCCCTCGGGATGCTTGGTTGGGCTTTGGTTGGGAGCTGAGAGGGGCATGCGGTAAGTAGTGATGAAGAAGATGAAAGCAACACGAGGTGACACTGCCGAAGGAGTCGCAGACATCACGTGACACACCAAGTTAACATGCGTGTCTTTTTTTCAACAAATCTTAAGTTCGCAGTGGTGTGTGACAGGAAATGCAGGAAGCTGCAGTGGTCTCTGGAAATGGGTCATTAGAACACATAGAACGCGTAGTCCTGAGGAGAACTTGCTGGAGAGACAAGAACAGTACCCAGTGGGCGCCTCGCATGGCAGCTTCCCAAGAGGGGCTGGCTGAGGGACAGCGGGCAAGACTTGCGGGCAGCCTTGGGGTTTCAGGTACTAAAATAAAACCCCACATCTGTTCTTTGCTGCACGTTTGTGTCAGCACACAGGGCCTGCCTGCTGCTTCCCGCCTCCTCCAGCCTGGGGGTGGAGGCTTCAGCAATGCCCAGTGGCTGCCACGAGATTTTGTGGCTTTTACCCCTAGAAAAGCTGCTGCCACCTGATGCTGCTACTTTTTAAATACTGTTGTTCAAACTTACCAAAGTGGTAATTGCTCTTTCAGAAAACAAATATACCAAGAAAATCTTGCCACAAAATAATAGTGCTATTCATGTTTGGGGTATAGCTTTCTGGATTCTGCTATTTATGCCTCTTTGCCATCTGTTTTGTTGCTGTTGAGTTCTCTGCTGCTCTTACGTCCTGCTGGTTCTGGTTCTAGAGAGCGGCCCCAATGCTCCTCGGTGCCCTGATTTGCACACTAGTGCCTTGTCCCCTGCTGTGCTTACTCCTGTGCTCCAGCCCCTCTGCTCTGACACCTCCAGCTCTCCTTTCCCTCTCTCTGGGTTGTTCTCAGTCAGCCGACTATAAACCTAAAACGCTGTGTATAACCCTGCTCTGTACCACCAGTCTTTGTCAACAGTGTGTGCCCAGGAGGAGGTGTGTTACAGAAGGTCTCAGAACTGGTGGCAGTGTCCGGTGGGGTTAAAAGCACCCCAGATTACCTGGCACCTGGGAACCAGGAGGGCTGCAGGGTGGGTCAGCCCACTCCGAGCCTGCTCCAGTTTGATGCATAAGGACACCACCGTCCTCGGGAGGGACACACTTGCCAGGTCTCAAAGCTGTGTTCTGCTTCCTAACTCTTCTGTGTCGCCCCTCAGGTGTGGTCTGTTGTTTGGGTGAGAAAGTAGCTTTTGATCATGTAGTTTTTTTTCTATGCTGATTTTTTTCCCAAAAGGATTTAAATAGTATCTCATCTTTCAAAAATTGAGCAATTTAGGTTTTATAGGCACATTAATGACACTCTTTGGTTCTTTCTATTTGGTTCTAGATCCATTACTTTTATTTGTGCTCAGGGTGTTTTGAAGGAGTCCTTATGCAACTCAATTTCATTAGCACTATGCAGCTTTTCACTTGTCAGCTGATACAGAATTACCTCTTAAGTTCTCATTTTTAACATATTTCACCAAAACTAAGATACATTTGTAAGATATATCATGAAATTAGCCGCACCAAGAAAAAAGTTAACATTGCCAATTATTATGAGTGTCAGATGTCATTGATTCGGAGATGAATTCCTAATTTCAAATATGCTAAAATGTGGAAAACAATGCATTTTAGAATCAATCATATACAGTAGAAGCTTTTGTATTTCTGATAATATAACATTTCTTTTTTGTGTTTTAAATGGAAAGGCTCAAGTATAAAAGTAGAGAGGATAATATGAGGAACTTTGGGTATCCATCACCAGCTACTGCAGTTGCCAGCTCGTGGCCCATCTCTTGTTTCATCTGCACATGATCCCTGACCACTTCCCCTGGATTGTTTTTCAAGCAAATTCTAGACATCATATTTTATCTGTAAATATTTCAGTGTGTAAGCAACAAGAGCTCTTTTTTACAAACATAATCACACTGCCTGTTTCACACGTAAAAAAATTAACTGTGATTCCTAAATATCATCTAAAATCTACTCAATGTTCATTTCTGCTGTTGAACATGTGTTCTTTCTTAAATGTGACCAAGCAGGTGTCTCAGGTCTTAGTTCCCCTCCCCCTCTTCACACCCAAGTTTGGCCTGTGCTCACATTCAGCGTAGGTTAGGTGATGATAGTTGGCCATTTTGTAGGCTCCTTTTTCTGAATAAGACATTCAAAGCATGTAATTGAAAGCCATATCCCTGCTAAGTCATTCATTAGCATATCAAGTACATAAGACCCAGTAACATGTTTAGATGTAGATCACTCCTCTTGGCTTCCTGGACTTAGGTAATTTCTGTTCTTGCCCATTTTTCTTTCGTGTAGCTTTGCAGATCACAGCTTGGGTGGCTGTCAAGGGGCTGTAAGTTTGCACACTCAAGCTGGAACTCTCCTCAGCGTCCTCACACACCTGCACTTGTGCCCCCACAGGTCTCCGTCCCACCCGGCGCTCTGGACTGCTGGGTGTTTCTGAGCTGTTTGGAAGTGCTGCAGAGGATAGAAGGTTGCTGTGACCGGGCGCAGATAGACTCAAACATTGCCCACACTGTGGGATTATGGAGCTATGCCACAGAAAAGGTGACTGCCCTGAGTGTGGGCTGCGCATTCTCTCTGCAGGCTGAGGCTGTGTGGTGGAGGAAGTCAGCTGTTTGGAGAAGTGTTGCTTATTTAGATCCGAGCATGGTGGCTCTTAGAATGTGTCTAGATACAGCCATGAAAGTCAGGGTTTCCTGCTACTTACCACCAATTTTTTGTTTTTCTTTTACATTCCAATATCTTTAGCAGATAGCAACTTGAAAAATGTCTGTATGCCAGGAATTGGCGACGGGGGGTTGCGGGGAGAGGGTACAGAGAAGGATGAAATGTGAAACGTTTCATGAAGCACAGAGTGGCTTCTGAGCACGGGACTGACGCTTGGTGCTAGCACCTGCAGCTGGGCGGGCAGCCAGGTCAGCTCAGGTGTAGGTGGGGTGCAGACCTTGGAAGCCTGGGGAGGATGCAGGTGGCAAGTGGAGGAAGCAGAGGATCACACATTTCAGAGCCACACAGGGGACTGTTGAGTGCTTTGAAATGATCCCAGTAAGATATGTTTTTATATCCAGATGTGAATCATTTGGATAAGGAAGCTAAATTTAGCTGGATTTGAATTTTTGTATTTAAATTCATGAATTCTCTGCCGACTCTTATGGCAAATTAATTGAAATTGTGGGTTTATCTCACCAGCTAAAGTCCTTGGGCTATCTGTGTGGACTTGTGTCAGAAAAAGGACCTAACTCAGAAGATCTCAATAGGACAGTTGATCTTTTGGCAGGTTTGGGAGCTGAGCGACCTGAAACAGGTACTGTTTGGCTATACCTATGTGAGGGGCATGGAGGAAAGTGTTGCGAGTGTCATTCATAACTTGGCACATTTAACCCAAGTTCTAGGAATACAATTACCATTTGGGAAATATATCTGTTATTAGCTTACTGTAATAATACATAGAAAATTTTACCTTTTAATAGCATAATGAACTATTAGAATAGTTTAAGAAATTAGGATTTGGAAAAATGTATCTAAGTTTCTCCTAGGCTTAAATGAGCTCGTCATAACTTTTTATAGTCTGTGTAAAGTGGACCTGCACCAGTCACCCTCTGAATATCAGGTGATCTTTTTCTAATCATATGGCCAAATATTTTTAATCAGTAAATTACTCTTGGAAAATAAAGCACTTTGAAAGGATCATTACTGATTGTTTGAGGTACAGATCTGAGGGTATTTCAGAAAGTTCACAGAAAAATGGAATGAAAAGATGATACAAATCTTTCCATGAACTTTTTGAAGACCCCTCATATACAAGAGTATGATTTAGCAAAACTGTTGTTAAAGTATAGTAAAGAATACCTAATGAACTGGAAAGCACTCCTACTAAACTGAATAAATTCTTAAGCAAAAATGTATAATGTTTATATAGCACTGGTTCAACTTGAGACCATGTCAGATCACTTTGGAAGTAATTTAATTCACTGGAGTATTTGTAATATGTACTTCTGAAAATTCTAGTCTTAAAGACCAGAGTAAAGTATTGCATGAAGGTTTAGACTATTTCGTGATAAAGTAGTTTCATCTGGCATGGCTGTCTTTGTGATTTCCATGCAAGGCAGATGAGGTCATCTGCCTGCAGTGTATAGAGGCCAATGTAAACTCATACGACTGTACGTAATGAAGATGAGTAAGGACTCTCCTTTCTTTTTGTTTAAGCCAACACAGCTCAGAGTCCTTACAAGAAACTCAAAGAAGCTTTATCATCAGTGGAAGCTTTTGAAAAGCACTACTTAGTAAGTATTACTGATGTTTCTAGTCTATCCATGGAGCAAATCAGCTCTACAACATTTTGCTCTATTATGTGACCTTTTGAATTGGGAACGAGCTGCTATTGGGGACCTCTTTCTTGTTGGCCTTTTTAGTTTCTTGCTATCCTAGAGAGTTGTGGATAAAACATGGAAAAATTGTTATTCATCAAATGTTTGTTAGTACACATGGTGCCATAATTAGGCATGAAAGCATCTTCGAATACTTACAATTTTGTTCAAAATGGGTTTTTTCATTCAATGGAATAGATACTGTAAGAGAGGATGGTGAATACTTTTCTTTGTAAAACGGAATAGTTTCAACTTGGGCAGAGCCATCATGCTTGATTTTAAAAGATTTAAATTAGAGACACTTCAGAAAGTAGCATAGGTAGGAGCTTGGATTAGCTTTGTTCCTGGCTCACAGTTAATTTGAGAGCGTTTGATAGTAGCCTGTAATGGTTTGTCCCTGTTACACAAACAGGTGGGGAAATTATCAAAAATGTTACCCACATTCAGAAAGTACTTTGAAAGGTTAAATATTTTATGTTGGATGAATTTGTGGGCATTTCTTTTATTACTGTGCTTCATAATTTATATATAAGTTATTGACTTTGTATAAATTACATATTACAGGAAAACTCAACACAAAAATAGATGCAAAGTAAAAAATAATGTTACATTAATAATGTTGTCTTTTGCTTCAGCTTTGGATAAATAAATGTAGTATTTGTCTGCCATTAAAAGTTCAAGTACATAATTATGCTTTTTTTTTTTTTACTTTTCCTCAGGATTTGTCCCATGCTACCATTGAAATGTACACAAGTATTGGGAGGATTCGATCTGCTAAGTTTGTTGGAAAAGATCTGGCAGAGTTTTACATGTAATTGATCTTGACCTTTTCTTTGGAATGTAAACATTATACATACAGTAAGAGAAGACTTGTTATATATGGAGTTAATATAAAATGTACATAAGTTTGTAGTTTGAAAAATGTAGAATCTCTCAACCAATCATCATTTTGTTTTCAATTTATTCTGAAAACCAAGTGGAAAGGTTTTCAGCTTGTTATCCTTAGGAACTGTTATTGGCCTTTGAAGTTCTTTTATTTAATCAAATATACTTATTTATATTTATAAAACATTATAACTATTTAAAAAGAATTATGAGGAATTATTTAAGAATCTACATTCCAGTGGCAAATAAATTGGGATGTTGTTTCTTAGATATTTTGTTGTATTAGCATTTGTCTAGTTTATATCACATATTTTTTAAGATTGAAAACCTCAACTCCAGTGATGTATAGTAACTATGTGCATTAGATACATGAAAGACAGATGACCTGGGAATGACTGTAAGAAGGCGTGTACAAATACTGGGAAGATTTCCATTTCAGCTCCAGCTTTGGAGTTTAATTCCAGAGAAACGACTCGAAATTTAGCATATTTCTAGCATGTGTGATAAAATCATTCTAATGAAGAGAAGAAATCCCGGCTGGCAGTGTGTTTGCGGTTTCAAAGAACTGAGAAGAGATATAAATTTTAATAGAAAAGGTGTTTGTTTACGAAATTTAGCATATTTCTAGCATGTGTGATAAAATCATTCTAATGAAGAGAAGAAATCCCGGCTGGCAGCGTGTTTGCGGTTTCAAAGAACTGAGAAGAGATATAAATTTTAATAGAAAAGGTGTTTGTTTATGAGGAATTTTTTTCTCAAAAAAAAAATTCTTGACCTCTATGCAGTTGTCCCTGGGTGTCTGCGGTGGATGGTCCCAGCCCTGCAGATTCCGAGCGCTTGCACGCTCAGGCCCTTGTACAGGTGGCTGGTCCAGGCTCTGCAGATACTGAGCATTCGCACACACAGGCCTTTGTACAAGTGGACGGTCTAGGCCCTGCAGATACTGAGCACTTGCACACTCAGGCCCTTGTACAGGTGGATGATTCAGGCCCTGCAGATACTGAGCACTTGTATACTCAGGCCCTTGTACAGGTGGATGGTCCAGGCCCTGCAGATACTGAGCACTCACACGCTCGCACCTCGCTTTACTGCACTTGCTTTACTGCATGTGGCAGATACAGTGTTTTCTACAGATTGAAGTCTTATGGCAACCCTTGAGTCGAGCAAGTCTGTCGATGCCATTTTTCCAACAGCATGTGCCCACTTTGTGTCTCTGTGTCACATTTTGGTAATTCTCACAATATTTCAAACTTTTCCATTATTGTTGTATCTGTCATGGTGATCCGTGATCAGTGATCTTTGATGTTACTGTTGTAATTGTTTTGGGGCACCATGAACCTGTGCATATAAGACAGCAAACTTAATTGATAAATGTTGTGTGTTTGGACCGCTTCACCAACCAGCAGTTCCTAGTCTCTCTCCCTCTCCTCAGGCTTTCATATTGCCTGAAACCCAACAGTATTGGAATTAGGCCAATTAATAACCCTACAGTGGCCTCTGAGTATTCAAGTGAAATTGAAATTCATTAGGTCTCTCACTTCAAATCAAAATTTAGAAATGATGAAGCTTAGTGAGGAAGGCATGTTGAAAAGGCGAGATAGGCCAAAAGCTAGGCCGCTTGCACAAGTTAGCCAAGCTGTGAACACAAAGGAAGAGATCTTGAAGGAAATTAAAAGTGCTGTTCCAGTAAACACGCAAGTGATGAGAAAGTGAAATGGCCTTACTGCTGACATGGAGAAAGTTTTATTTGCCTAGATGGAAGATCAAACCAGCCACAGTATTTCCTTAATTTAAAACCTAATCCAGAGCAAGGCCCTAATAACTCTCTTCAGTTTTTTGAAGGCTGAGAGAGGTGAGGAAGCTGCAGAAGAAAAGTTGAAGATTCTAGCTTTTGGTTCTTGAGGTTTAAGAAAGGAAGCCGTCTCCATAACATAACGTGCAAGGAGAAGCAGCAAGTGCTGAGCAGCAAGCTGCTCCAGGTTATCCAGAAGGTTATTGATGAAGGTGGCTACATTAAACAATGGATCTTTAAATGTAGACGAAACAGCCTTATACTGGAAGAAGATGCCATGTAGGACTTTCGTAGCTAGAGAGGAAAAGTCAATGCCTGGCTTCAAGCTTCAAAGGACAGGCTGACTCTTGTTAGGGGCTAATGCAGCTGGTGACTTTAAATTGAAGCCAGTGCCCACTTACCATTCAGAAACTCTTAGAGCCCTAAAAAATAATGCTACATCTACTCTGCCTGTGTTCTACAAATGGAACAACAAAGGCTAGTTGACAGCACATCTTTTTACAGCACAGTTTAGTGAATATTTTAAGCCCACTATTGAGAACTACTGCTCAGAGAAAAATATTCATTTCAAAATATTACTGCTCATTGACAATGCACCTGGTCACCCAAGAGCTCTGATGGAGATGTACAAGGAGATTAATGTTGTTTCCATGCCTGCTAACACAACATCCATTCTGCAGCCCATTGATCAAAGAGTAAATTCAACTTTCAGGTCTTATTATTTATTTAAGAAATACATGTTGTCAGGCCATAGCTGCCATAGATGATTCCTCTGATGGATCTGGTAAAACAAATTGAAAGCCTTCTAGAAAGATTTACCATTCTGTCTGCCATTAAGGAAATGCATGATTCATGGGAGGATATCAAAATATCAACATTGACAGGATATTGGAAGAAGTTGATTCCAACTCTCATCGGTGACTTTGAGGGGTTCCAGACTTTAGTGGAGGAAGTCACTGCAGATGTGGTGGAAACAGCAAGAGAACTAGAATTGGAAGTGGAGCCTGAAGATGAGACTGAATTGCTGCCATCTTATGCTGAAACTTGAACAGATGAGGAGTCGCTTCTTATGGGGGAGCAGAGAAAGTGGAGTCTTGAGATGGGCTCTGTTCCTGGTGAAGATGCTGTGAACATGGTTGAAATGACAGCAGAGGATTAGATTATTACATAAACCTAGTTCATAAAGCAGCAGGGTTTGAGAGGATTGGCTCCAATTTTGAAAGAAGTTCTACTGTGGGTAAAATGCTGTCAAACAGCATCACATGCTACAGAGAAACCTTCCGTGAGTGGAAGACTCAGTTGTTATCTTAAGAAATTGCCACAGCCACCCCAACCTTCAGTAGCCACCACCCTGTTCTGTCAGCAGCCACAAACATCAAGGCAAGACCTTCCACCAGAAAAAAGATTACAAATCGCTGGAGGCTCAGATCAACATTAGTAATAAATTATTTTTAAATTAAGGTGTGCTTCTTTTTAGACATAATGCTTTTGCACACTTAATAGACTACAGTATAGTGTAAATGTAACCTTTACATTCACTAAGAAACTAGAAAACTCATGTGGCTTACCGTTTTGTGGTATTTGCTTTGTTGTGGTAGTCTGGAACAAAACCCAAAATATCTCCAAGATACACCTGTATATAAAACCAGGTGGCCTGGTTTTGCATATAACCTACCCAAATCCTCCCCTATACTTTAAAACATCTCTTATAATTATTTAGGTTACTTATAATACCTAATACAATGTAAATGCTATGTAAATAGTTGTTACACTGTATTTTAAAATTTGTATTATTTTTTATTGTTGTGTTATTTTTTATTGTTGTTTTTTTCCCATATATTTTTGATCCATAGTAGATTGAATCTGTGGATGCAGAACCTGCAGATATGCAGTGCCAACTGTACTTAATAATTTTATCAGATGAAACAAGAAAGAATAATTTACTTGAACTGATTTGAATTGCCTGGAAAGGGATTTACAGATCATCTAAGTGAACTCCCTAATTTTCCAGATGTGGTTGGAGCAGTTAGCCAGTTATATACTAATTAATGGCAGAATCAGGGCTAGAATCTGGCTCTCTTGAATCTCCATCTAGTATATCTAAAGAGTAAGTCAGTAGTTAGTGGAGCAAAGAAGCCATGTCTCCAGATGCTGTGAGTTTACCTCACGTATCACTGGTGTATTCTGAGTCAGTGAGTCACAGTGGAGGGTGCTGGCCTGCTCGTTAGTGACTTGGTCCTGATTCCAGCTTGGCCACAGACCAGGTGGGCTATGGTCAGCCCCGTCTCCTCATCTGAAGTTGTGGGGCTGGATAAATGGTCTGTAGAGTCCCTTCAAGTTCTAGAACATAAGCATCTTCAGTTAGAGGTAGTAAGTGACAAAGTATCGAATGTTCTGATTCCCTTTAAAGAATGGGTTCCTGGGAGAACTATAAAATTCTAGAAAAACCAACATAATTTGATAAGTTTAAAGTTTATTTAATTTGAGAATTTATTCAACATGAGAATTTGAGAACTCTCATTGCTTCAAGAGTAGGGTAGTAAGGGCCGAGCCTGTGGTGCACTCGGGAGAGTGCGGTGCTGGGAGCGCAGTAGCGCTCCCGCCGCGGGTTCGGATCCTATATAGGAATGGCCGGTGCGCTCACAGCACTCACTGGCTGAGCATGGTGCGCCGGTCTCAAAAAAAAAAAAAAAGAGTAGGGTAGTAAAACGGGTGTCTTGCAAGGATGCTTAGGAGGAGCAAGCGCCTATTTCATGTTGGCCTTTTTCCTTGGGTTCAGCAGTCCCCTCTCTCTGGGGAAAGTGAGGGGACCCAGTCCCGCCGCGGGTTCGGATCCTATATAGGAATGGCCGGTGCGCTCACAGCACTCACTGGCTGAGCATGGTGCGCCGGTCTCAAAAAAAAAAAAAAAAGAGTAGGGTAGTAAAACAGGGGTGTCTTGCAAGGATGCTTAGGAGGAGCAAGTGCCTATTTCATGTTGGCCTTTTTCCTTGGGTTCAGCAGTCCCCTCTCTCTGGGGAAAGTGAGGGGACCCAGTCATCACTCAGTGATGACATGTTACTTTGTGCTTTAAACTTTTTTATTCCGAAAATCTTTAAGGTTTAAATTGAGACTGGAAAGATCTTCTCGTGAGTGATATGTGTTGCTGTTTTAATTCCTCATAGTTCTCTGTCAGCCCCTGAAACCTGCGTAGTGCTCTTTGTCTGAGCTTGGAGTTGTCCCGCACTTCCCTTGTGGTGGGCTGTGTGGCTGCTCTGTGTTTCCGTGTCTTCAGGAGGTGGCGTGGCATGGCCGAGACACATTAGCTTTCTTGCTGGCTGGCCATGCAGTGTGCACAAGCGTTCCACCTGCTCCCAGCCTTGGCCTTCTTTCAGCTGGAAATGGGAACGCTGCCCTCCCTTTCTTACCCTGAGGTCCAGCTCTGAATGTTCTTTGACTAGTGTATAGTGCTAGACAGTGTGCCATGGTGGCATCACCATGATCCCATTGCTCAGCTCCTCACCTTGGGGCCCACTTGTGTAGTCCTGAGTCAGGGCTTTTTCTCATACGGGTGGCTGACTGGACAAGGACGGTCTAGATGTGCATCTGTCACAGCGTGGGTCTGCAGGCTGGCGGAGGGCCAGGCGTGAGAGAGTGTGTCTGAGCAGTTGATTGTCATGAGCCATAATGAAAGCTTCTGTTGTCGACTTTGCCAGGAGGAAAAAGTCTCCACAAAAGGCAGAAATCTATCTTCAAGGAGCACTGAAAACCTACCTGGCTGAGGGCTGGGCACTGCCCATCACACACACAAGGAAGCAGTTAGCGGAATGTCAAAAACACCTCGGACAAACCGAGAAGTATCCTTTCAGTTTAATGTTTTCATGAAATAGGAAAATTGCTCTCTGTTTATACAGCAGCATTGCCCACAATTGAGTGTTTAATATACACTTAATATTAAGGAGAGAAAAATTCTACCTTATACATGTGTATCATGTAGAATATGAATTAAGTTCCTAGTCGGTTTTTTAAAATCTAATTTTGAGTTCCTAATAACTTAAACTGAAGAAGAAGAAGAAGAAGAGTGCCCTTTGGGCTGTACTTTGAAGGCCCTAGGGGGCCTTTGACGCTATTTTGCGTCCAGCATTCCTTGGCATGAGGTAGCCTCCCCAGACCCCTTAACTCTACCCTCCAGCTACCTTCAGACCAGTAGCCTTTTAGCCAGCGACTATCACTTAACTGAAGAGCAGCGGAAGTACTTCTGCCAGGAGGTCCTCAGCTTTGCCCACCAACAGTCAGACAGCCCAGGTAAGACTAATTTTTAACGCTGTATTATGAAAAATTGGAAATATTATGGGAAAGTAAAAACAGTACAAGATATACCAACCACCTAGAGTCAACAATTTTTAACATTTTGCTGTGTATCAAATATGTATCTCTATCTTTCTGTTCACTTTTTTTCTTTTTGTTCAACTTCAAAGAAACTCCGGACCACATTGTAATACTTCACCTTGAAGCAGTTAATCACGCATCTTCTAAAACTAAGGATAGTCTTCTAACCATACCCAAAGAATTAGCAAGATTCTAATACCATCTACTAAGTAGTCTATATTCATGTTTCCCTGATTGTCTCAAAAAATGTTTTCATAAATTATCTTTAATAGAGTCCGGTGATGAATCACATATTGCATTTGGTTGTTATATCTGAGTTCCCTTTAATTTACAACAGTTCTTTCCATCTCTTTTTCTTATTTTTTTTAGACATTGACTTTTAAAAAATATAATAGCATTATTGAGATGGAATTTACATACTGTGTAATTCATTCATCTGAAGTGTTCGGTTCAGTGGCTTCTGTGCGTTCACAGGTGCGTGCAGCCATCACCAGTCAATACTGAGAACATTCTTATCACCCCAGGAAGAAACCCCATACGTACCCCCGCAGCCACTGGTCTATTTTCCGTATCTATACAATTCTGGATGTTTCATGTAAATAGAACCACACAATATGTGGTCTTTTGTGACTGGCTTTTTTGACTCACCATAATGTTTTTAGGGTTCATCTGTGTAGTGACGTGTATTAGTACTTCATTTCTTTTTATAGCTGAGTATGTCAAGCCAGTTGTCTCGTGGACCGGTCCACCACTGGCATTCATCTCAGCGTTTCTTCATGGGAGCATCTAAAGGGAAGCTAGATCAGAAAGGCTTAGATTTGGGTTAAACATTTTGGCAAATATACTTTATAGATAATGCTTTGTGGTAAGATTAAATTTATTGTAAAGTTTAGCTTCTCATATTTAGTTTACCAAGAAGAGCACTTACTTAAAATAGTTACTGTATTACCCTACTCAGGCCACCCTAACAAAATACCACAGACAGGGCAGCTTAAAGCATGGGCATTTCTCTCTCACAGTCCTGGAGGTTAGCTGTCTAAGGTCAGGGTTCCAGCTGGTCGGACTCTGGTGAAGGCTGCTTCCTCATTGCAGATGGAGCCTTCTCACTGTGTCCTCACACGGTGGGGAAGAAGAAAAAGCAAGGTCTCTGGCGTCTCTTCTTAGAAGGACACTCATGCCATTGTGAGGGCCCATCTCATGACCTCGTCTAACCCTGATCACCTCCCAAAGGCCTCATCTCCGAATACGGTCACCTTGGGGGTTAAGGATTCACTGTGTGAATAAGGGGCGGGGAGAGACAGTTCAGTCCATAGCATTTATTAACCACTTCACTTGAAAGCCAGTTTTTCCAAAGGTTTTGGATTGAGATTTATGTGGTTGTCAATTGCTGTGGTGTGTTCACTGGAACAGGGCCATCCGGATAGGTTTCTGAGGAGCATCATGATGTTAGTTTGGTTTTGATTCTCAAATGTGCCAACTGGTGGTTGTAGAGCCATGAGCACGTCTGCTGCTTAGTAGGTGAGGCCATTTGAGCTCTGAGTTTCCTGCCAGCATTCCTTGGCATCTCTGTGTGGATAAACTATTTCATAATTGTTTACTGTTTTCTCATGATCTTATGGCATTAGCCTTGGCAAGTCATTAGTTGATGAACGTTTAATAAATACTCAGTGGTCAGTTCTACAGCCTTATGGTTTTTCTAGGCAAAACCAAGGTTCTTATGGAAAGGAGGTAAGAGAAAGAAGGGCCCCTTCTCACCTATAGCGACCGTGGAGCTGGGCACTTTCTGCTGGCCGGGGCTGGGGGAGCAGAGGGCTCCTGGCTTCCTTGTCTAACTTCATAGGCTGGCAGATGCCGTGGGCACTTGGGCATCTTTACTTGAGAATTTCTTCAAGTAGGCTGGAAAGTGTTGGAATCCCTTGAAAACTCTAGGAACGGGACTATTTACAAACTTCATTTTGAAATTGAGGAGTTAGTTGACCTGTATTTCTCTTAGGTTTGCCAAAGCAGACTTGGAAACCTTAATTTCTATAGATGTTGTGATTTACAGGAGTTATCTAGGCATTTGTTTATATTCTGCTTTTGGCAAAATAACTTTGTGGGGTGAGGGTGCAGGAGGCGAGGAAGGTTTAAAGTGCCTCTTTTGAACATTCCTGCCTCTTGCTCCTTATGCTGTGCGTCCCAGGCCCTGCAGCCTCTACACCATCTGGAAGTGTGACCTAGGAGTGAAACGTGGTCATGTGTATTTGCAGGTCACAGAGTAGTGCTACCTATGCATTCCTTTGCACAACTGAGAGATCTCCATTTTGACCCTTCTAATGCCGTGGTCCATGTGGGTGGTATTTTGTCTGTTGAGATAACCTTGTGCAGTCAGATGCCTGTCCCTGTGCACGTGGAGCAGATTGCTATCAATGTCCACTTCAGCATCGAGAAAAATACCTACCGGAAGACTGCCGAGTGGCTTACCAAGCACAAGACGTCCAATGGGATTATTAAGTTTCCAGTGGAGACCTCACCTTTCCCTGCATCCCAAAACATCTTGCCTGCACTGGAGTTGTATGAGATGTTTGAGAGAAGTCCTTCTGATAATTCCTTGAACACCACAGGGATTATTTGCAGAAATGTTCACATGCTTCTGAGAAGGCAAGAAAGCAGCTCTTCTCTAGAGGCGCCCTCAGGGGTGGCCCTGGAGGACGGGGCCCACATGCTCAGGTGTAGCAACGTGACTCTGGAACCAGGGGCCAACAAGATAACATTCAGGACTCAGGTATGTGTTCAGGCTGGGGAATTGACTTTCAGGTTTATAAGAAAAGGGGCTTGGAGCTTGAAAGAGTTGTGTGAAATATGTGGGAATTGAGCAGAGTCCTCTGTCCTGTTTTTATCCTTAAAGAAAAATACACTGACATTTTAAAAAAATCTTTTGTATTTACACAATTTTAAGGCAGTTGATAAATTTTTGTTTCTTGGCTGGCTGGTGTGGGGTCCTTGGTGTTATCAGCACCACCCTCTAACCAACCGTGCTAACATTGAACCCCGGTCCTTGGTGTTATCAGCACCACCCTCTAACCAACCGTGCTAACTGGTCAGCACAGTGGATAAACTTTGAATGAAGTTCTTAACATAGATGTTTGTTATTGGATTTAGTTAGCTTTTTAACTAATTGAATTATGGGGCGTAGTTAGCTTTTCCTCTGTGTATTGAAATACACCATCATTTATTAAAATGAGATTTCAAAGAAGATGGAACACATTAAAATTTATTTTTCCTTTGTGGCTGCTGGATGTCAAAACCATTGATTCTGACCCACTGTGACATACTCTGACACAGCACATGCTATAAGTTCTACTAACTCAAGAGGAATCTAGCCTGTGCATACTATTTGCCACATGTGTATTTAGTCTCTTCTCAAAGCAGGTCTTTAATCTTATGCTGAAATGTCTCCACAAATACCTTTTCAAAGAGAATGCCACAAATGCAGTTTCTTACATTGAAAATACCTTGTTAGAAGTATAAAGTCAGATTTAAGCATGTCACTCAGAAAATCATAGCTTGTGAGAGACTGCTAGAGCCTTTTTGAACAGCTCAAGTATAGAAGTGTATACACAGGAGCAAGAGGAGGCAGAGAGAAAGAAATGCAGTCATCTCAGAAAGACCACAGAACAGCTGTACCTTAGGAAGCTCATCGTTACAGAAATGGGAGACGTCTTTTCAAATGCCTGATTTTGACCCTAGGCCAAGGAGCCTGGAACGTACACACTCAGGCAGCTATGCGCCTCGGTGGGCCCCGTGCGGTTTGTCCTTCCTCACATCTACCCCCTCGTGCAGTACGACGTGTATTCCCAGGAGCCCCAGCTGCATGTGGAGCCGCTGGCCGGTGAGTGCAGCCTCTGGCCGCTTGGGAGGCTTGCTGTGGGTGATGTTCTGAGAGGTCTCTTAAAACATCAGTCTTCTAATACTTCTAGCTGTGTCTGCCTTGAAGAGACATTTTGGGTAACATAACGTAAGTTTTGCCTAGTAACTGACTGCCTCTTGTCCCTCCGAATATTCGCTCTCCTGTAATGGCTGACTATCTCAAAACAAAAACTAGAAGAATTAGCAAGTATCAGCTAATGTCTGCTGCAGAGAGTTTAATAAATATATATGATTTTCTCTTAGAGTTCAATTTCAAAGGCTAAATACTAGATTTTAGTTGTGTTCTATACTCAGATCAGAAGTCATTTCCTTTGAAAGTGTTGGTTAAACTTGGCCCTCTGGTATGGCATTGAGAATTCAAAGCTACTGTCCTTTTTGATATAAATTAGAAGGCGCTCATGTAAACAAATGATCGAATACCATATGGCACTTAATTAAGCACTTATGAGTGAGTGTCTCCATTGTTTAGGCAGAGAATGATGTGTTTATTTGCTCGTTTCTTCCATTTTGGTAAAAAAAAAAAAAAAAAAACCAGGAAAGTCATTTTTTTCTATTGAATATCCCCACTCACCCTATTTTCATGCTTTCAGATTTCTCCCATGGCCACTAGCAGAGGCCCTCAGATGGTGAACACAACAGTCAGTCTCTCACAGTCCTTCCAGGGAGAAGGTTCTGTGAGGACAGCAGAGCTCTCTCACCACGAGGGGCTGAGCCCACGCCCTCCCTGCCTCTGGCCTTCATGGCTCTCCCTCGCCGGTCCACTCCCTCCTGGCTCCTTGTTTCTTGCTTCTTTCTGCCTTTCCTGGAATAGACTCTCAGGAGACTCAGCCTGTCCCTGCCCTCTGTGTCTGTGTAGGAGAGAGAGGTAGCTATTCCTGCCACTGAGCTGGAACAGATCCAGAAGCCCTTGACTGAAAAAGCCGGAGAGAATCCCAAGAGCCCCGCACGCTCGGTTTCCTTACTGTTCTCGAGCCTCACTGTCTGATTCTCTCATACGCCTTATTGGCAAGCGAACTTTGAGACCCTCCCTAACTCTCTAAACCAAGGTGGGGATAAGACCCTCAGACTGACAGAATTCTCTTGTTCTCAGCAGGGTCCCCTCAGGCCTGCAGTCCTCATCACTGAGATGAAAAGCTGGGGCAGAGGGAATGGGGTTGAGTGAGCTCGTGGGGTACCTAAGACAGACAAGTTCTGTGCAGAATGAAAGAAACAGTGTGCCCTCCCATCCTCATGGAGGCCCTGGCGGGTTCTGTTTGTGGTGTGCTAACTGCTGTCTTTGTCCCTGTAGACAGCCTTTTGGCTGGTATTCCTCAGAAGGTCAAGTTCACTGTTACCACTGGCCATTATACAGTAAGAAATGGGGACAGCCTCCAGCTCAGCAATGCGGAAGCCATGCTCATCCTGTGTCAGGCAGAGAACAGAGCCGTGATCTATTCTAACACGAGAGGTAAGGCGCCGGCTGCCTAGTGCAGTGGACTCACACCCCGTTAGGACATAAGAACAAGCCCACTGTCCCCTCCCTCCAGGCGCGTGGCCCGGTGCTTCTTGTGCCTGTTGTCCTCAGGTGGCATCTGAAGTCAGCATTCATAAGTGACTGTGGTCCGGAACCTGGGCTGGGCGTTAGGTTTGGGGAGAAGACTTGAGAGCAGTGCGCATGCTGAGTGGCCATGGGTGCTGACCCGCTAAGGACAAGAGGCTGCATTGCAGCTGGGTCTGTGCTCGCAGTTATGCCCTGCTGGCCTCTGTCCACCCCACTCCACCCCCGCCGCTGAAAAGCCAAAGCAGGTCAACCTCTTTAGGCTCTGATTGGAAGCCCTAAAAAGCTTCCTGCCTGCCCCAGGTCCCTAGCCATGAGGAACAGCAAGGGAAGGACCCTGTGCCCTTTCTGGGCAGGTGTCGATCTGCTGATGGGATGGAGCAGAGGACGTCGTGCAGGACGTTTGTGGGACTGGGTGGGCCATGAGGAGAAGCCCTCCCTGTGAGCAGATGGAGAATAGTGACAGGTGCCTCGCGCTGCCTGACGGCTCTCACGCTGTGCCACTCTGCCTTGGGCAGGGATGGTTCTTGGATTTTCCTGCCTCTCCCCTCCACTTCACTCCTTCCATGTGCTGCGAGCTGCGGAGTGCGGCTGTATCCTCACTGCTGGGCCCATTGCCTATGGTGAGAAAGAGGAAAAATGAAAAAGAGGGGAAGTGTTCGAAGGGACTTTTTTGATCTTTCATAGAAAAGTCTTCTGACGCGGCACTGCGGGTTCAGTCCTCCGACAAGGTTACGAGCATCAGTCTGCCTCCTGCACCTGCGTACCACGTGATTGAATTTGAGCTGGACGTTCTCTCTTTACCTTCAGTCCCCGCAGCTGGAGGGGAGAGTGACTTGCGGGGGACACCAGAGCCTCAGAGGAAGCATAAAGACAGACAGACAGCTGGCCACTGCATGGTCACCACAGACCACAAAGTAAGGGGGGCTGTGGAGTGGCTTGCCTTGAGGGGGGCAGCTTCTACCTGTCCTTCCTGTTAGGCGAGACGACATGCTCACGTGCAAGATGGCTTCTGTTCAGGTGGCAGACACCACGAGCTCTTGTGTTTAGCACTTATGTCTGTGAGCCACCTTCTTAGATTAGGGGTGCATCTCTCAAGGACAGAGACAAATAGGCTCTACCTTCTCTATCCAACTTGAGAGGGAAGGAAGTTTATCACAAGAGCCATCATGGCAACTTTGGAGTGAGGGGAGTTAAATTTGGGGTCAGTGGTGCATGAGTCCCAGTGATGAGGCAGAGGAGTGCCGTGTGGTGGTATGTTTCAGTGTCTGTCAACCGAAAGGTCGTGTCACACCCAGGAAGGAGCTCTGTCACCTTAGGCTTTGGTGTTGATATTGTTGACGGTTGATGGAGAGAAACATAATTTTGGTCCCAGATCCACAGGGAGCCAGCACGGGGAATGTGTCACTAACATCTGTTTACTGAGGGCATGCCCATGTCCTGTAATACGGGTATCAATTCTAAGGGCTCTTTTGAACAGCCCGTGTCGAAGTTTATGCACAAGAGTAGTAGGGTTAAAAAGGTAAGAAATACAGTCATTTCAAAGCATAAAATATCAGACAGGTCAATGTCTAAGTAGTGCTTTAATTTTCAGTTCTTGAAGAGTATGTAATAAAATTTTTCCCCTATCTCATACAGAAATTGAGGAGGCAAAGATGGCACTGACTTCGACAGGAGCACCTAGGCAGGAGTGAAGGAGTGAATGTTCTGTCCTCAGCACATCTGTTTGTCCATGTGGGAAGTAAACTCAAGACCTGCTCCCTTGCCCTTAAGGGAGTCAGTAGCTTTGTTTCCACTGTGCCCCACATCGGCTGGTTTTCAGTTATGTATTTAGTGTCAGATGGGTTAAATGATCTGATAATTCATTTAATTTTGGAGTGGTTAGTGACTGAGTAGTGTCATCTGGACATGTGACTGAGAGCACTTTGTCATAACCTTCTGCACATTACAACACGTTTGGCCTCAAGGCCCCTGTGTGTGAGGGCAGTGGGTGGTCTTGCTGCATTCAAGGCGGCCGTGCTCCAGAGCCACTGAGACCATTCTGGAGATGCATGGGTGTCCTGCCAGTCCCGTACCTGTTTTTCTTGTCTGTGTACACAATGTCCTGTTTCTCGTTTGTTTGCCTGTGCGTACTGTTTAACAGGGCTTTACTTTCTGAATAATGAAGGTTCCACTACAATAATGTGTCCAGGGGACTGGCAGCTGCTTCAGATGTGGGGGTGGCGGTGGCGAGTGGTCTGAGTGTGTGTCCTCTGCTTCTCCTCAGGTGTCCATTGACTGCCCGTGGTCAATCTACTCCACGGTCATTGCCCTGACATTCAGTGTGCCCTTCAGGACTACACACTCCCTGCTGTCCACCGGAACACGGTAATGGAGACCTGCAGTCCCGGCTCTGGCTTTTGTCCCAAGATCTCCCCAGTGGAGATTTGTCATGTTCAAAGCTTGGCCTTGGTGATAATTAGGGGTACTTTCTTAGATAACCACTATTATGCACCTATTAAAACTCAGAGTAATTTCCTATTACCCTGTAACACCCAATCCATATTCATATTTTCCCACCTGTCTCAAAAATGACTTTTTGTAGTTGGTTTGTGTGAACCTGTTTGATTACTAGATCTCTGTTTTCCCTTCTCCTGTTTTTCAAGTCATTGACTTGTTGACAGACTCGGCTCAGCTCTCCTTTAGAAGGCCCGCCATTCTGGGTTTTGGCTTGTGGGTTTAACTAGTTCCTGGTCCCTGTATCTTTTGTCAATTGCTAGTCACCTCTGGAACAGGGTTTTTCAACCTCAGCACCACTGACATTTTGGGCCAGGTGATTCTTTGCTGTGGGGGCTGTCCTATGCACTGTAGGATGTAGTGCACCACTCCTGGGCTCTCCTGCGAGGTGCCAGTAACACTCCAGGCCCCCAATGTGACAACCACAAGTGTCTCCAGACATTGCCCAATGTCCCCTGGGAGGGGCTGAATTGCTGCAGTTGAGAATACCTGCACGCGGGTTGGGGGGTCATGCCTCGTGTTCCACTGGGCTGGGAACACATGACGTCTAGGTGCCCACCTTGGTGATGATGCTGCGTTGACCACCGGGCCTCTCACTGTAACATTCCCTGTTGCTTCCATTCATTGATGATGTTTACATAATGTGGAAACAGAAATGTCGGAACCATATTGAGAATGGAACATTATCCTAGCAGCTTTTCTTCAAATCACAGCAAGGGAACTGTAGATATTAGTGGTTAAAAACATCAGTAATTTCTAAAAGAATCTGAAGTGCTTTATTAAAGACTTGCCTTTCAAAACTCTGTGTGCTGTGGAGATTAGGGTGAGTCCTGTATTTAGTTTCTCAGCAAGTAGCCGTTACTTCTAACGATGAAGGTGGTCGCTGCTGTTTCCTACCTGGCTCACTGCAGTGTGCAGTGTGTTTAGGATGGTCAATACAATCACATAATAATACTGTATCAGACACAGATGTTCTTCGTTCCATTTTTCCACAGAAATACCTTGTTTAAAAAGATTTTTCCTCTGACAGCTTTACATGTGATGTCAAAGTAGGAATTACACAATGGCGTGTTATCGTTCTGCTTTGTCACTTTTTGATTCCTCAGAGAAAGTCTTCTTAACAAAGCTAAAATATGTATTTATGAAATTCTTAAATGTCAAAATCACATTTTTTTGTTTTTCTGTTTTAGGAAATATGTTCAACTCTGTGTCCAGAATCTGTCAGAACTTGACTTTCAGCTGTCAGACAGTAATCTCGTAGCTACTGGGGACAGTACCGACCTACAACTGATACCTTTGAACACGGAGTCCCAGCAGGTATACATTTGTGGAATTGAGCATAGACTTCTCAACAGAGAACCAGAGTGTGAGGACGTAGTATCTGAAGTGTTTTGATTAAAGTGATGTAGTGTGTCTTGAGATTGAGCCTTTTGACATGGAGAGCCATCTCACTGCTCAGGAGCAGAGCCCGGGTGCACTTAAGCCTGCTCTGGAACTGCAGCTGGGCTGCCGTGGTGCACACACTCGCATCTCTGTTGTGGAGTAAGCGGGCTCACTATGAGCCGAGTGGCACGGTGAATGGTTTAGGAAAAGACTGGTATCCATAATTTTAGAAGAACTGAATCTTAAACCTGCCCTCCTCTGTGCACAGCTTTAAGCAAGTCCAAGTTTATGCTTGAACTGCATGTTGGTTGCACAGACACCATCCCCGGCAGGACATGGCGACTGTTCGGTCCACCTGAACTTACATGCCTGCCTGTGCTGGGAGGAAGGAGTCTTAGGAGCCAGTGCACTTTGTAAAGGAGTCACACTTGTGTCCACGAGGCATGGCTGAATCCTGACCCTGCCCTTTCTATTCATTTTTCATGTGTGTTTTTAGATGGTGAATGCTGAGTGTTTAGAAGATGAAAGGTTTTCTTAATGGACTCCAGTATCTTTAGCATTTTCAGAGGATTTTCCCCCACGTATTTGGCCACTTTCAGATCTTACCCAGGCCTGTTGCTGTGCCTGTCTCTGTGGACTTTGTAATAGCAGTGCTCAATGTATGCATTAGGTGGTGCTAGTCCCTAAATTAACTTACTGTTAAATATGAAATAACTAGTACGGATGTGAAGATGTACTTTGCAATTGGTTGATGACATTTCCTCCGTTTTGGAGGTGTATGGGATATACCATATATTAATAAATAGTCCTTTAAGCTTCTTATTTATGATGCCCTATGCTGTGAAGCTTATGGAATCATAAAAAAAATTAAAACCTTTTGACCAATTTTGTGCAGTCTTTAGCTGGAACAAGGCCAGGTAGGTGGGCTGAGGGCAGTGGTGGGTGTGGAGACCTGCACAGGGATCTCATGGAGCAGGGCTCTGTCACAGTGTCTCAGTCTCACTCGCACATTCACATGGCATGAAGTATGTTCTTCCTCGCTGTCATCCTGGTTGCACTTGACGCTCGGGGCGCTGCGAATACAGTGACGCTGGCTCTCTTCACAGTGCATCTGCAGCAAGCAGCCTGTGTTCTTCGTCTGGGAGCTGAGGTGGACGCAGGAGCCGCCCCCTGCTCTGCACGGCCAGTTCTCCATTGGATTCTCCCCGGCCTCTGAGGAGCGGCTGTCTGTCTCCTTAAAGCCATATACTTACGAATTTCAAGTGGAAAATTATTTTGTACGTAATGTATTATTTTGGGGGTGTGTAGGGTGGGAAAACGAAAGGTGGCATCATATTCTTTATAATCTAAAAATACAAATCGACAAATTTTTTCTATTTAATAAAGCAGCAGCTCAGGAAAAGAGTTAATTCTTGGAGTAGTTGAATTACTGACCATCTTTATTTTAGAGCCCCAGGTCCCTCTCATGTGACACACCTGAGCCACGCACTCTTGGGGCATCTGGGAGGGTTGATCATTCACAAGACCCAAAGACTCCTTTTCTCTTCCTTACATAGACTTAGCAACTTCCTGAAAATGCTTCTTAGGATCATTTCATCTTAACCATTAGCTGCTATTCAGGGGTATTACTTTCTAAGGCATGTGTCTAGTTTTTTAAAAGAAAAACTGAAAATGTTATGAAAATTTGCTGTTGAATATTGTGAAGATTTTCTTATAACCTATTTATCTTTTGGTAGAAGGCAATTTAAGTGTGGAGCTACAAGTAGCATTGAGCTAGGTGAGTAGGTGCAGTGTGTCTTTTTGTTCCTTTAGTGAGATTATTTGACTTAGGCAAATCCAAATGTAAACACACAATTTTGTGGTATTTCCTTTTCTCTTTACTACTTGAAATTGTCAAAGTTTTATTTGACAAGGTATTTCTGTTTATAGTTCTTGATAGTAGCGGGTTTTTCTCTACCTCCTTCCGACCAAAACAGACTAATTGTTTTGACCCTCATGTTTTTTTTTTTAAACTCTGCTTATATTAGCCTTAGACAGTTAAACGTAATCACTAGCATAATTTATCTTTTTGTAGTACAAATTTATCTTTGTGTCTGTTTTGCTTTACTGCCAATGATTACTAACTAGTTTGTGAATTTTAGTGTAATTTTTCTGTCTTTTTTTTCTTCCTCTTCAAATTTAGAGTATAGAAAGTGTTTTCCTTTAGAAGTGTACAAGCTGAGTAAAAGGCCAGAGAGAGACATGTGGTGCACTGCTCTTTTCAGAACTGGTATTCTGAGGACCTGAAATGTAGATGCCACTTCTCTTTTTTTTTTTTTTTTTTTTTTAAGATGTGACTTGGTGTTGTCAGCACCACGCTCACCCAGTGAGCCAACCGGCCATCCCTACATGGGATCCGAACCTGGGGCCTTGGTGTTATCAGAACCGCACTCTCCCGAGTGAGCCACGGGCCAGCCCACCACTTCTCTTTTTGAACATGTTTATTGAGATATAATCTGTATACCATGAAGTTCACCCTTTTAAAATGTATAATTCAGTGGTGTTTAGTATGTTTGCGGAGTTGTATAACCATTACCATTTCTTTTTTTGGAACACTTTTATCCAAAAAGAAACCTTGTACCCCATTGATGCCTCGTCTCTTCCTCCCTCCACCCTAGTCAACCACTGATCTGTAAGCAAATCTGTCCCTGTGGATTTGCCTATTATGAGCCTTTCGTATAAGGGAGATCATGTTACGTGTGATCTTTTTGTGACTGGCTTCTTTCACTTAGCATCATGTTTTCAGGCTTATCCATTTTGTAGCATGTACTGGTACTCCATTCCTCTTTATGTCTGAGTAATGTTGCACTGTGTGGATATAATACCCCATTTTGCTTATCCATTCATCAATGTCTGTGATCTGGGTTGTTTCCACTTTGGGGCTGCTGCGAGTCATGATGCTATTGAAATCTCTTGGGTAAACATGTAGGAGTAGAATTGCAGGGTCCGTGGTAACTCCATGTCTAACTTTTTGAGAAACTGCCAAAGTGTTTTTCAGAGAGGTTACCCTGCTTCACACCACCGCCAGCCCACCATGGGCCCCACTTAGAACATGGAGGGTCCCGATTTGTGTGCATTCCCAGCAGCACTGGCTTCTGTTGTCTTTCTGACTAGCCACCTCAGTGGGCATGGTAGCTCGTGGCTGTGACTGAAAGGCGGCTGAGGGAGGCACTCCGCTGCTCCCCAGAGTAGCCAGGAAGCGGAGCGGGAGGGTATGCGTCTGGGGCAAACCCAGCAAACCCATGTGTGTCTCTGTCTAACTCTGAGCCTCCTTCAAGCTCTAAGGCAAACCCACAGTCTTCCTTTGCTGGGCTCAGAAACGTTTCAGACTGTGTGTGCTCCAGCTGGAAGCTTCTGAGTGGGAGCTGTTTAGACGAGCTTTGCAGTAGAGCATTTTCCTCTATGGTGTTCCTTCCTCCGACTGCCACTGTTTCAGCCCCAGACATCAGGGCTGTCCCTCTGCCAGATGGCTGGGCTGCATGTGCCTCTGTGTTTGTGCCCTGTTGTTAGAGAACCACGGCAAGTCCCGGTGAGGCCCCTCTTCAGGCCAGTAGAAGTTTGTCTCATCTCTGAACAGATTAATTAGGTGTTTGGTAGGAAAATCACCTAGAAAGGCTTATCTAAGGACTGTTTAGCCTTGTTATGTAATGTTTTTCTTGGCATCAAGCTTCAGAAGAACACTTTTTTTTTTTTTCCTTTTTGTCTTTTTACTGACCGGTAACGGGATCGCAACCCTCAGTGTCGCGCCCGTACCGGGGACCGGCAACGGGATCGCAACCCTCGGTGTTGCGCCCACACCACGCTCAGCCAGTGAGCGGGAACCAGTCTCCACATGAGATCCGAACCCTCAGCGGGAGCGCCGCCGCACTCCCAAGCGGCGCACTCTCCAGTGCGCCACTGGGCCGGCCCCAGAAGAACACTTTTTAACATTCCGAAATCTTTTCCTTGAACATTCTACAATACCAACAGAACACTGCTTTAAATTGAATTACACACTAATTGTTTTATATATTTGAATGAAAGAATGCTTAACTTCCTAAGTGGAACTGCCAGCAGGTGGCAGGTGAGCCTTGTCACCTGTGCAGTGGCAGATTGGTTTTGGCCCTTTGTCGTGGGTGATGATAGAATGTTAGGGGTTTATGAAAATCAACTGAGAATAGGTTGATTAAGGAGAAGGCAGATTGTGGACTGAGTTGGGTGATACCAAGGAATTTTTGTTGATTTTGTTAGCTGTGATGTTGTCATTGTGTTTTGGTAAGAAAATGTCTGTACTTTTTAGTCATGAACACTGAGGTGGGTGAATGAAGTGCCAGGGTGTCTAGAATGTGCTTTAGGATACCTCAGGCTAGCACAAATGGGCACATCGATAGAGGAGGCCAAGCAAGCGTTGGTGGCCTTTGACTCTGGGGACAGGTGTGCAGAGAGTCATGCACTGTCTGTCCTTCCTTCTTGTGCTAGTAGATGTGTCCACAGTTTATGCAAAGAAAATTTAAGGCCCTGGGGTCAGGACTTGCCCAAAACATTGTGTCCACAGCAGGAGTTGTCGGAGCGAGCTGCCGCTCTGGCCGGTGGAGCAGACATCTTTCCTTGATGTTCTCACGTCTGCGGCAGCTCCACACTTGCCTTCAGTCACGTCTCTTAAGAGCATTTAGGCACATTCCCTTTGGACTTGTCTCTCCCTTTCCTGCCCAGACATTGTACAACGTGAAAGCTGAGATATTTCCCCCCTCGGGAATGCAGCACTGTAGGACAGGCTTGCTGTGCTCCTTGGAGGTGTCAATCACACGGCTCTCGGACCTCTTGGAAGTGGATAAAGATGAGGCACTGATGGAATCTGACCAGTGTTTTCTGACGAAGCTTATGTATGAAGGTAGGTCTAGAGGTTTCTTTTTAATGACTTTTGCGATAATGAAGTGTTTTATGTGAGCGTGCCATGTCTTTCAGAGTGTAGTGCTTCTTGTCCTAAGAATGTTCTAGAAATAAAAGAACTTGTTTGGTAGTTTCATTAAATCACGTGGCCCTAGGCTTACTGGATGTTGAACTTGTTACTAGGGAGCATGCTCCTAACAAGTATTTATCCAGCAGTTGCCTGGCTTGGTGCAGAGAGTACAGTAGCACTTAGAAATGCCTTTTCTCTCTGCATACGACTCGGGACCTTTCCATTGCTCCTGAAGCAAAGTCCAGACTCCACTGCTTAGCAGTCAAGGCTGCCTATGATCATGCCTCCTGCCCCATTCCCCCCGACCCCCACAAAACCTAGTTTGTCAGCTTTTCAAGTAAAAAGGGTGTTTCATGAAAACAGCGGCAAGGAGCTTACGACGAAGAGAACTGCACCCATGCTTTTTCTCAAGACAGCCATCACATGACAGCAAAGATGCTTCATACATGTTACCTTTCATCACAGAGGACATTAAAAAGATGAATAGTCAAGACTGGAAATGACCCAAATATCCCTCAGCTCCTGAGTAGTTAACAAACTGGTGCATCCATACAGTGGAACAGAGCAGGGTGAGCTGCTGGTGCATGCAGCAACTCAGACGGGTCTCGATGGCATCATTCTAAGTGAAAAAAGCTAGTCTCATAAGATAAGGTCACACACTGTGTGATTCCATTTACGTGTGGTGTTCTCCAAGTGACCATATGGAGATGGAGAGTGGATCTAGGGTGGGGATCTAGTGGATAGTAGTAGTCATTTGTGGTGACGGAGGGAGAGTTCTCTGCCTGGATTGTGGTGGTGGTTACATAAATTGACACGTGACAAATGCCATCAAATTGTACACAAAGACATACCAAAAATGAGTGTCACAAAAGCGGTGAAATGCCAGGGAGGCCTGCAGTCTGGCCTGCGTGGTGCCAGCACCTGGTTCCTGTAGTCATGGGAGACGGCACAGTTGGGGGAAGCTGGCGATGGGACACTTGTCCACCTCTCTCTACTGATTTTGCAACTTCTTGTGAGTCTATAAACATTTTGAAATATTTTTTAAAAATGTACTCAGGAGTTGTTTAATAAAATTATTAATTTTGACTGCTTCATAAAGGACATCCTCAAATAAAATTGGCCATTTTTCTGCTGTGAGTTCATGGTGGTGAAGAACGTGAACGACATGGCAGTCTGGTGCCCTGCTGCTGCACTGTTAGTGCCAAGGTCAGCACGGTGGGAATGGAGCAGTATACGTTCTGCTCTGAGCCTGTGATGCTGGGTACTGCACTGAAGACTGCTGCCCCAGGCACCCTTCCTGATGCTGCTGGCCTCCTGCGTCTTGCAGCACACCTGTTCTCCACCTGCAGGAAGCCCCCTTCTGTGACCTGCCTCTCTTCTGCTCCTGGCCTGCTGGTCATACGTTACCTGGGATGTTACTCAGCATCCCCATGATGGGGAGCTGTGACCTCTTTGTCAGGTCGTCTGCTTCTTGAGGATGAAGATCCTGCCCTGCTACTCACTTTCATACATCTAAGACTGGTTCTAATGAATGCTCACTTAGGTGTTTGAATTGCGTTGAACTAAATTTGTGTATGTCTTAGTAATTAATGCTGATAAAAATACCTGCTGTGTGTTAAGACTCTGCTGTGTCCCAGGAGTGGTACTCAGTGCTTTGCATACGTCTTCTCTTTCCCTCCTTGGAAAGCAGCTGTGTGAGGCTGTTTTTGCCACCACACAGGTAGGCCTGTCTGAGCAGCAGGGTTGGGATTCAGACCCGTTGGTCTTTGATCCTGCCACTTATCAGGTGGAGCCACTGCCCTATACCATTGCCCATTCCTAATTTAACAGCCAAAGTGGGCCGACCCCGTGGCGCACTCGGGAGAGTGCGGCACTGGGTGCGCAGCAGCGCTCCCGCCGTGGGTTTGGATCCTATATAGGGATGGCTGGTGCGCTCACTGACTGAGCGTGGTGCGGCCGGTCACAAAAAAGACAAAAAAAACCCCCCAAAAAACAAAAAAAGAACCCAGCCAAAGTAGCCATACTTTTGAAGCATTACACAAAATAGACAAAAAAAAAAACCCCAAAAAACAAAAAAAGAACCCAGCCAAAGTAGCCATACTTTTGAAGCATTACACAAAATTTTCACGGAGATTTCAAGTCAACATTAAATCATTTTACAGGAAAAAAGTAGTTTTCTGTTTGCATCCAACATGGTCCAGTCTAAACTAGAACTAATTAATTGAATGTTGGACTAAAAGAAATATATATCTTAGTAAAGCATATATGTCTTGTTTTAAGGCGCAGTGACAGACATTGAGAAATATATTCTCCAGTTTTGGATTTTACTCTGTCAAGCATGAGAGGATTGGCTAACAATGGTTCTTACTTGGTTGTGAGTACTGACTGGCTTTTTCTGGGGTGAAAACGGGTTCTCTCTCTTTCAGTTGTTGACAACAGCAGCAACTGGGCAGTGTGTGGAAAGAGCTGTGGTGCCATCTCCATGCCGGTGGCCGCACGGGCCACTCACAGAGTCCGCATGGATGTGATGCCTCTCTTTGCGGGTCACCTCCCCCTGCCTGATGTCAGGCTGTTCAAATACCTCCCTCATCATTCTGCACACTCTTCACAACTGGATGCTGGTAAGTACTTTTTACAAAAAAGTAGATATTCAGTATTTGAGTAGGTGACAGCTTTGGGCAGAGAGGTAATGAACTGACATTGTACAGAGCAGGTTTGAGAATTGACATGATGTCTTTAGTGCTAATAGCAACTACTACAAAAGACCTAGTTTGTGGTTACAAGTCGCAGGACCCTGCTCTGAAGGTTGATCCTCTTTCTTGGTAGTAGAATTCTCTTTCGAGGGGACCTCTGCCTCAGGTGACCTCCCTGTGCACTTAGAAGTCAGCTCAGTGTGGCTTGGCCAGTCTCCAGTTAGCATCAGAGCGGTGCAGCTTCAATCTGACTCCCTGTGTTTTGCAGACAGCTGGATAGAAAACGACAGCCTGTCAGTGGACAGGCATGGGGATGAGCAGTCAGATGGCGGCAGCGGCAGGAGCAGAGGCAGTGTGCACTCGGCCAGCAGCGCCGAGCACAAAGGTTTGCCTATGCCCCGGCTCCAGGCGCTTCCCACTGGCCAGGTCTTCAACTCCAGTGCTGGCATGCAGGTCCTGGTCCTCCCTAGCCAGGACAACCATGTCCTGGAAGTCAGCGTCACATGACATCGCCTGGGGATGACGGATGCCACACACAGCCTGGATTTGAGTGCACTTTAAGGGACTGTGACTGAGTTGTTCTCCATTCTGGCGGCAGCCAGACTCTCGGTGATCCCGCATGGCCGTGGAGGCATCAGAGATGTCATTGTACAGCAGCTGAGTTAACTCGTTATTTTCATGTTGTCTGTGATAAAAGATTACTTATTCCCCGTCCCCGTGCTGACATCCTGCAGGGTTTCCTCGGAGCCGCAGCTTCCCTTGCTTCCTCGCGCACTGCTCGTGAAAGACTTATCTGTGGGCTCCACTGAGCAGCTGCTGTCTGCCGGCTCTGTGTGGAAGCCCACCATCTTTCAGGGAGCCACTCAGTAGGCCTTGCCGTTGTTGTGACACGTGTGTGCCCTTCTGGTCACACAACTGCTCAGTTTCTGGACCAGGGTGGATTTGTGAGTCTACTGAGGAGTAAAACACAATCCTTTAGCCCACATCATCTAGTCGAGCTTTTCTAGAATAACACCTTTTAGGGCAGGTGGGTGGGGTGAGAAGTGGGGAGGGGAGGGAACATAAACCCTTCTGTGCCCTGGGACACCAGAGCTGGGCAGTCCTGGAGGGCCATCAGCTGGGCCATGCTAAAGGTACGTGAGAAAGACTAGCCCAGGGCATGAGGGGCAACTTGGCATTGAGGCAGTTTAGGAGTAATGGTTTCTGAAACCCTGTTTTCACCCATGATGTTGATTGAATATCATATGCACTTGGAATTATATTTAATTTAATTATCATTATATATGTGGGGGTTAAATGTTATTGGTTTTCTCACCTTTAAACTTAGTCTTTACATGTAATTGTAGCTGTATAATCTTTTTTTTTTTTTTTTTTTTGCACTTTAAGTCTTAGCAATTAAGATGTTCCATTTAAAATGATGACAAGAGGGTCCTCGCTGTGTATTTCTAGTCTGGTTGTGGGGAAGGACTCAAGTCCTGGAGTAACCTCTGCTGGTCCACTCAAGTGTAGTCATATCATACTGATGGATTAATTTGCTTTCAGTTGTAAATTTAATTGTACATATGTGGTTGATTTATTATTTTTAAAAGTACAGACTAACTGATGAAATGTTTAAGTTGCACCAAAAATCAAGGACAAAATAAATGTATGTTTGTTTTTACTGGTGTGAAAGTCACAGCTTGTAAATAAGTGTTGTATTAAACCTTTTCCAGCTCTACAAAGCGATGTATTTTTGTATATATGGAATAGAGTACTCTTAATTCACTGGGAAAGTGTGCTTGGGCTGGAACTTTACAAGATTAATGTAAGCGGCTGAAGTTGTTTCCTACAGAGGGTGCAGTCTCACATGAATAACTCGGATGTGTGCTGCAAAAAGAAGGTGTGCTAACGCAGCTGCAGCCGGTCCCTGCTGGCACTGTGCTCAGGAGAGGCGGGTGTGGTGTGGGGGATCAGGAGATCAAATAATACAACAGAGCAGTCATTTTCAGTATTGTACATGGTGTCTTTAACTCATCCAGTAAATAAAGGTGGTGTGATACCCCCATGTCTTTTTCACTTGTAGAAATTGGAGAAATGTGTAAATCAGATAGTATATATTTGTGTTTAATTAAACTTTTCAGAAATTAATCTTCCTTGTGTGCAGTTTAAAACTAATAAACTTGATTAAACTAGTGAGGCAAATTAGAACTTCAGAATCTAATAATAGTTTAGATCTGCCAAGTCTCATGAATGAAGAGATCTTTGAGATTTGATTGTCAGAAAAGCTTTCATCCACCTTGTCAGCCTTGGAGCCAAGAGAACCCTTCCTCCATGTATAATGTAGCTTTCCCTCACACCTTCTGGAAGAAGGATTGAATGAATGATTGAATGAAGTGATTGGCTGTCTCATTCGTAACTCTGATTGTTTTCTATATTGGGGTTCTACTCCCAGGGTGAAATTCTCTAATTCCATATATATTTAAAGGAAGAAAACAAAGAAGAAGTTCAAAATGTTTATGGTGGTTTCTTGTTGTCTAGAAATTGAATAAAATCAAACTTTTTATAGTCTTTTTCCCTCTAATTACCCAAAAGGTCTTTTGCAAACTAAGACACGAGTGCTTCTGTTTTTTAAGACAAAGAATGTCACCCAAAACTTCGTCATTTTTTCTTAATATTCATAAGAGTAACCAAAAGGCTGTAACTTGATTTTTGTTATTATAAAAGGAAGATTGATATGTCTGAGACTAGCTGCTTTTGTTGATAAAGGTGTAGCAGCTGTTAAATAATTGTGAAGCCAGATATCGAATGTGTATCTAAAGAACAAATAATATGCAGCCGTTTTACAAATATCGGTGGAACATATAAATACTAGTAAATGGAAAAGAAAATAAGTTGTAATTTATGTGAATTTCATGAGGGTGTCCTGTGATTGGAAAAATTATAACTCTTCTGATTCTGATGTGGAAATTGTATTTAATCTGAAAATGACATTTACCTACAGTTCCATTGTCAGCATAGCAGGGGTGGGTCAGATCCCTATACTAGTAAGTCTCAGCCAATGAGCATAGATGTCCTAAAAAGACTTAGTAGAGAAAATACACACAGGCTTCTATTCAATTTTTCTTTAGTGATTAAGATTGTTTTAAAGTGAAATTTCGCATTCCAGGTTTGTATATAAAATGAAAAACTAGACTACTTTTTATAAAAGAACAAAGTGGGCCGACCATGTGTCTTACTTTCAACTGCGGTCTTTACATTCTATGTGATTTTTAAGTTTTGTTTTCATGACAGTGCCCCTCTGTAAACTCGCTTGTTCTCCACGTGAAGCTGCTAAGAGGTGCAGACACCACTGATAGGTCAGATGGACTCGAACTGGACAAGGCGACGCGGTGGGGGCTCTGACCTGCAGGTGTCGAGCCCATTTTCATGGCTCACTATGAGAAGTCATTTTTCACATTCTGTAACGTACTGTTAGACTGGAGTGACTATTAAACTTTAAAATGTAAGCACTACGATTCTGAAAATACACATTTCAAGCAGAAACTTGGCTGCTCCAAGCAGGACTCTGCCGCTGCACGTCGTGACGACTGGAAGCTGTCCCGCCCCTCCTGTCCTCCCCGCAGCTCGCAGGCTTCGAGCACCGCCGCGGGGAGCGGGACTTCGCGGTTCCACCCGGTGCTCCGGTGCTCGCGAGCATCGACACGGCGTGCCGGGGTCGCCGGCTCTCCGCGGCCTACCGACAGCGACTGCCCTGGGGCGCCCGTCCGGAGATTGGGGGCGCCGCCGGCAGTGTCCCCGGAAGCTGCGGCTCTTCCAGCTTCACGTGGAGAACAAGCGAGTTTACAGAGGGGCACTGTCATGAAAACAAAACTTAAAAATCACAAACAAAACTTAAAAATCACAAACAAAACTTAAAAATCACAAACAAAACTTAAAAATCACAAACAAAACTTAAAAATCACGGTAACGGTGCACGTGGGGGACGTCGCGATGAAGTTTGCGTATCGGGTGAGCGGCGGGGGCGGGGCAGCTAGTGGGGGGGCAGCGGTCGCGGAGGGTCGTGGTTCGCTTTGTACCCGAGGCTCGTTCCCGCGGGTGGCAGCAGCATCTTAGCAGGGCTGAGGAGGGGTCGGGCGTGGGCGGGGCTGGAGCGGGCCCGGCGGGGAGCCCAGGGGGCCTTCCGGGGGAGCCCGTGGGCTTGAGTGGGGCAAGACTTGCGGCCCCAGACGTGGGGTGGGGCGGAGCAGGCGATCCCACCCGGGCGTGTCCGGGGCTCCCGACCCCGGGGCTGGTGGGGACGCTGGTGGCTCCTTCGCCCTTGAAGGCTGCACGGCCTCCCGCTCTTTCCATCGGGCCGCCCTTCCCGCTGGGCCCAGCCCTGTCTCACGTCCACTCTATCCAAAACTGGACCAGGTTCTGACCCCTGGAAATCGTCTCGTGCTGGCGAAGGCACCGCACAGCGCCCGGCCCCTCCTCGGGCCTAGCTTCGCTCTTCTCCAGGCCTCAGAGAGGCTGTCAGGACATGTGCTTCAGGTCACTCAATTCCTATGCTTCAAGCCCTCCTCCGTCCGGCTGGCCATCCTCCGCCCTGAGGCTCTGGGAGCGCTGCCCGCCTAGTCTCCGGATCCTGGCCTGCCCGGCTCCTCCGCACCTGGGTTCCAGCCCAGGCGGTCCCTCCGAGCATCCTTCCCTGACCTTTCTCTAAGACAGTCTTTTCTGCCGCTTCTCCTCACCCCTCCTGCTGGATACAGAGCGTGCAGCGCCGTCTGCTTGTGACCCGTTCAGGATGCTCTGACACTGGGTGCTCTTGAAGTCCTTTGTTGCAGCTTTTCTCTTGATGTCCCCTTTTCCACCCACATGTGCCTCTTGTCTTGGGAGGCTTCCCTGTTGCTCACAGGTGTTTCTTACCCACCTGGGTGGGAGCTCCTGGCTCCCCGGGCTCCTGAGGGTTGTACTCATTTTTTCTTCTTTTGCCCAGGAAATGTCCCAGGAGATGATTGGAGGGGCCCAGGGGATGAACAAGGACCCTGCTGTAGGGGCTCTGTGCCATCTCTTCCCAGATGCTTCACTTAGCCCTTTTCTGGGAGTCAAGACACTATTTTCTTTGTATCAAGACAAATGTGGATTTGTTTGTTTGTTTTTCCAGTTTTCAAATTTGCTGGGTACAGTTTATCGACGTGGAAATTTAAATTTTACATGCGATGGAAATTCAGTTATCAGTCCTGTGGGCAATAGAGTCACTGTGTTTGACCTTAAAAAGTAAGTGTGTTAAAATGATGTGACAGTGACAGTTATAGTTGGTATGCTGGAGCTGCCGGTGTCTTCCTGGCCTTTTTGCGATACACCCATTAATTAAGGCAGCCTGAGAAAGGGGTACTGGATTTAGTAGGCTTAATAGGTCAGTCGTGGAATTCCAAGTTCTTGTTTGTAGTGCTTTGTATCTAGGTCGTTGGTGTTGCTCTTAAAGGTAAGAATCATGTTATTTATTTGGGATCCTGCCTCTCTTGTATGAAGGTGGGATGGTGGGGAGAAGGTGTAGCTCAGGGTTAGCACTTCCTTGGGCAGGGGAGGCCCCTGACAGCCAGGAGGCCAGGTGGTGCTGCTAAGGTTGAAGCTACTCTGGATGCTGCTGGGCCTCACTCGTTGGACTGGCAGACCCAGAGTTTCCATTTCTGCAGCTGGAGATTAATTTTGGTTTCTCAGGTTGTTGCTTCCAAACAAGCACATACATATAGTTCCCTTCTTAGATTGTTGGGAAGGCTGTGGGCCGACCCTCTGTGCAGCTGGGGCAAGATCCTTTTGTTGCAGAGGCCACCTGGGTCTCTTTTTTTTGCTCTGCAGTTCTCCAGCTGGGTGGCCCCGGGCCTCAGTTTCCGTATCTGTGAGACTGGGCAGCAATAGTACCTGCTCTGCTCACATGCCTGAGCAGTGCCTTGTGTAGGCGTGCCGGCTCGGCTGCTGGTGTTATTACCATTACAGCATCTAATGGGCTTTCTAGAGTAATGACTGCATATTCATTGAAGAAAACTTAGAAGATAAAACAATAAGATTACAAGCTAGTCCTAACATTTAGAGAAATACCTAGTTGTCACTGCTCATTTTTCTGTTTTTGTGCATTTTCTCATTTTAAAAAGTTTTGCATAGATGTGCTGTCACCACGGTTAATTCCTCTTGTTGGACATTTTGCTTGTTTCTGGTTTTGTGGCATACGTGTGTAGAATCCTTTTGGAATATAGTTCTAGGGGCGGAATCGGTGTATACAAAGTTCACTATTAAGGCTTCTAATATGTTTTGCCAGATTTCCCCCCAGGGACCATGTCAGTTTCTCTTTCCCTGGCACATGGGGTCTAGTGGGATTGGTGGGGCATGGCATGGGGAGGGTGGACCACAGGTCTGAGGCTGGCCCTGTCTCCCTTGTCTGATAGGAGACCAACTGCATGCTGTGGTTTTTGTCTTTCTCAGCAACAAATCTGACACGCTGCCCCTGGCCACTCAGTACAATGTCAAATGTGTGGGGCTGTCTCCAGATGGCCGCCTTGCCATCATCGTGGATGAAGGTAATTACCCCTTTGGGTGGGGACTGAAGGGGCGGGCTGAGGAAGGACTCAGGCCAAACTTTGCTGTGTTTTCCATACCATGGGTCTGGGAAGGGCCTCTGGGGTGGCAGAGAGGTCGTCACCTCTGGCTTCCTGCAGGGGGCGTTGCGCTGCTGGTCAGCTTGGTCTGCAGGTCGGTGCTGCACCGCTTCCACTTCAAGGGCTCTGTGCATAGTGTGTCCTTCTCCCCGGATGGCAGGTGAGGCAGGTGGCTTCCCTGGGCGGGATGAGCTCTGACGCACTTGCCCATCTGAGACCGACTGCCCAGCTCTTCCCACTAGGTTCGGGTTGTCACATTGGGCACATGGCCAGCCTCTCCAGAGCAGAAGGCTGGGGCAGCCGGAGTGCCCCCTGGTGTCTATTTCTTCTCTGACTTGGTCCGCAGCCTCCGTCCCGTGGCCTCAGGGGAGGACTCAGGGAGGCCTGGGGTGCTGTAGCTGGGCTGTTCTCTCCGGGCCTTCTGGTGTCAGGGCTGTTGCTGGTCTTGAATATCGACTATGTCCCCACTTCTTCGATAGGAAATTTGTCATCACGAAGGGCAACATTGCTCAGATGTACCACGCCCCTGGTAAGAAGCGAGAATTCAACGCCTTTGTTCTGGACAAAACCTACTTTGGGCCATATGATGAGACCACATGCATTGACTGGACCGACGACTCCAGGTGAGGCCATGGAGGCTCTGCAGAGCAGGCTCCAGAAGATGCCCCTGCATAGTCTCGGCGTGGAGAGCATGGATTCACACTTTGGAGTCCTGAAGTTTCACTTTGAAATGTCTCCTGAGCCTTCCTTGGGGCTGGCTGCAGCCCACACTGTTAGGCCAGTCCAGTGTGGCTGGTCAAGTCTGCACCACCCCAGCATTTGTCACTGGAAGCCAGAGCATGAGGTCTGAATCTTGATGAGAGATGAGTGTGTCACCAAACGTTCAAACCAGTCAGGAGAGTTGGGGAGTGTGCCAGGGCCATGCCCTCCCCTCACAAGGTCACCATCCCTTAGGCGTCCTGTCACACGTGTCTGTGCAGGTGGAGGCAGAGGCTGGCAGTGGTGTGGCTTCTGTTTGTAGGATCAGACTTGCTTGAGCACCCTGGCCCCAGGTGGCATGTGGGTCATCACACATCTCACATCCCTGCTGTCCCGTATCTTCAAGGCCATCATTCTGCATGTTGACTCTGTACTGTGGCCAGAATTTTCCCTGATCGGGGTCTCAGGCCGCATCTGGGAGGAATGAGGAGCTGGCTCCTGTTCCAGGAAGGGCAAGAGATGGGGGCAGACCAGGGCAGACGGGTCGTCCTGGGGTGCCCAACCTGTGCTAAAGACTTCCCAGAGCTCACACTGGAGACCCATGCAGGGAGAGCAGATGGTATCTGTACATCTCTGTCTGCAGAGAGCAGACTGCCTGTGTGGTCATGGTCAACCATGAGGGCAAGTGGTGCTTGGTCGTGAGCCCTGAGGAGGTGTTGCCTCTCTGTCCCAGGTGCTTTGTGGTCGGCAGCAAAGACATGTCCACCTGGGTGTTTGGAGCCGAGCGCTGGGACAACCTCATCTACTACGCACTGGGAGGACACAAAGATGCCATCGTGGCCTGCTTCTTTGAATCCAACAGCCTGGACGTACGTCCCTACGCCCAATACCCCTAGCCCAATGTGTTGCCCCTGTGAAAGCCCTGAAGCCCTCGGGGCTGAGCCATAAGTCCTCTCCTCCTGAGCGTCCTCAGGCTGCTCCGGGCTGCCTGGGGGATGTTTAGGGGCTTGCAGGAGCTGTTGCTGCTCCTCAAGAGCCATTTCTTTCCACGGTGGAGGAGTCCTTTAGGGGAACTGGCTCCTGGAAGCTGAGCTGCAAGGAGGGTCCTGGGGCCAGGGCGGTGACTGTCACCCTGTGTGCTTCCCTCGCAGCTGTACTCACTCAGCCAGGACGGAGCCCTGTGTGTGTGGCAATGTGACACACCCCCCGAGGGCTTGAGGCTGAAAGCCCCGTCGGGCTGGAAGGCGGACCTGCTGCAGCAAGAGGAGGATGAGGACAATGACGAAGGGGACAGGGAGAGCACCATCCGTGGGAAAGCTGCGCCAGCTGGGGAGGAGAAGAGAGGGAAAGTGACGTATTCGCGGCTGGCCAAGTAGGTCTCCCCGGCGCACGGGGCTCTGTGTGATGCTCCTGTGGGGGTCTCTTGCCCTCAGAGAAACCTGGACACAGGATCCTGAGGGCCAAGGACTGGGAGGTGCTGAGAACAGTCCCGTGTATCTGTAGGCCTAGGTTCGAGAACCCTTGAGTGCTGGGGTGTTGAGACTCTGCCCTGTAACCCAAAGGCCCCTGCTGCTGCTTCGGCTGACTATGTTCTGTGTCTGTCCATGTGGGCAGGGCGCAGGGCTTAGGAAGTGGGACAGGCAAGGGGAGGGAGGCCCAGATGGAGACAGCGTTCAGGTGTTCGATAACAGGAATGTGGTGGCACCTAATGTCCAGTGGGAGATGTCTGTGGCTTTGCCAGTTCACGCAGGGTTTGTGGTGGGCGAGGGTCCCTTGGCATGTGGAGGATGCATGGGGGGTGCACTCTCAGCACCAGCCATGGGGGTTGAGGTGGTGGAGGGGATACCATGAGGATAGGGCGTTTGGGGAAAGCTAGAAGGAGAGGCCTGGAGGAATCCTCAGCCAGGCAGGAGTGGCCGGTACTGTACGCCCTACTGGCATGTGTGACAGGCCCATAGGTGGTTGCCTCTGGGCGCTTTGTCAGGTTCTGGACGTTTGGGGAAAGCTAGAAGGAGAGGCCTGGAGGAATCCTCAGCCAGGCAGGAGTGGCCGGTACTGTACACCCTACTGGCATGTGTGACAGGCCCATAGGTGGTTGCCTCTGGGCGCTTTGTCAGGTTCTGGGCAGTCAGTCTAGCCCCACACATCCCCAGTGGGACGACCTCCCTCCCCTTGACCTAGACGCAGACTGAGCCCCAGGCCTGTGGACCGCCTGCAGGGGGCGCTACCCTATGGTGGGGTGCTGGGCGTCGGGCCCTTCTCTGGGGCTGTGTAGGATGCTGGTCATAATCGCTGGCACACACGGTTGGAGCAGCCATGGGCGGCCATGGCGCCAACTGTGACTGGCCCTTTTGTGCGATTGCCCAGCCTAGACTCCTCCATTCAGCAATTATTTGGCGCCCCTGTGTGCTGGGCTCTGTTGGTGCTTAGAACACACCACCTGTCCTCCTGAGGCTTTCTCTCAGCTGGGAGAGCAGACGCGGAAGGGCAGAGCAGTTGTGCAGGGTGACGGACCAGGGGGCAAGGGGAGGGCTTCATGGATGGTTCCGCTTCTGGAGGGTTCCCTGGCTTTGCACGCAAGCCAACAGAGAGGGAAGAGAAGCGGGACCTTGGAGGGAGGCTAAACAGCCAGACTAGGCTGGATTTGGGGTGTGCTGGGGCTGACAGGTATGTGGGAGACATGTGAGGGTGGTTGGGGTCTCAACTCTGAAGAGTGCGGAGGGTCAGCCAGGCCCCAGCCAGGGGGTCTGAGTGGACCATGGGTGTTCACATGGACTTAGGGACATTCTAGCTGGAGTCAGGACTTGGACAGGCACTGGAGGAGACACCAGGAAGAGGGAGGGTTCCTGGAGTTTCCGTGAGGAGGGGTGCTTGCTGGCAGGGAGTGCAGACTGTCAGTGTGAAGGAGGCGGTGGCCCACGTTGGCCCAAAGAGGGCAGCAGACACTCGTTCAAGAGGGTCAGGTGGAACTTCGTTGGGAAGGGGACATAGGGGAGGGAGGGCCAAGCAGGTGTTAAAGGTGCAGGTGCCATTGGGCCACCTTCATCTGGATCTAGATATGGTGGAGGAGGAGGAGGCAGGAAGCATTGGGATCTGCTGGGCTTCTCTGCGGCACAGGCTGCTCCCCCGCCCCTTGCCCACCTCCCTGTGGACCTTGTTCCTTCCAGACCTCCACCAGCCTATGGCTCGGGGTCAGCAATGGAGATCCTTCTGAGAGGCTCCCTTGAGACCCTGTGCTGGAAGTGGAGCAGAGCGCTCTGGGCAGCTGCCAGGACCTAGAGTGGCGGGGCACAGCAGGGCAGGGCCGGCCTGGCCATGTGGTCTCTTCACATGCCTCTCACGTCTGCCATCCACTTAGGTACTTCTTCAATAAAGAAGGAGATTTTAATAACCTGACAGCTGCAGCGTATCACAAGAAGACTCGCCTCTTAGTCACTGGTTTTGCTTCTGGAACCTTCCATCTTCATGAGCTCCCGGAGTTCAACCTCATCCACTCCCTGAGGTGGGTTCTCTGCTCGCTCGCTTGCTGGACGGCCAGGGCGGATGTACGGTACAGCAGCGGTCCGAACAGTGGGGCAAAGACCTGGGTTGGGGCCAGTGCAGACCTCCAAGGGCCTGCTGGAACCCTGAGCAGAGGATTGGGTGGCCCTGGGAGAGTCGCCTCCGAGGGCCTGTTCTGAGCAGGCTCCTCAGGGGCTCCTTTGCAAAGGCAGAGCTTGTGAAGCTTCCAAAATAATTGCCCTCCAGGTTGGGAGTCCTGTGGTTTCCTGCTTGGGTCTCAGCCTTCCAGCAGTTCCTTGCATGACACCTTGGCGTTGGTCTCTCAGTCAGGGCCAGCTGCAGAGGTGCTCACTGCTTGCTCTGGGCCTCTACCCATGGTTCCCTCTTGGGAGGGGGGTGGTCCCAGTGCTGACACATGTTGGGTGTCTTTATCCCGCCCAGTCCCCGGTGCTCTGTTTCTGGGACCTGTGTCGGCTGAGGTAGGCTGGGCCCTTGTGTGACCTGGCCTGGTTTCATGTGCTCACAGGCCTGGGCCAGCTGCTGGTGTGGGAGTGGCAGAGCGAGTCCTACGTGCTCAAGCAACAGGGCCACTTCAACAGCATGGTGGCTCTGGCCTACTCTCCTGATGGGCAGTACATCGTGACCGGGGGTGATGACGGCAAGGTGGGCTCCTGGCCCCATCCTGTGGGCCTCAGGGCATAGGGTGGCTGTGGGGGGATAAAGTCCTTGTGCTCGGCTTTGTCAGCTGGGCTGCTATGGCCACGCCCTGAGTTGGGTGCTTGGCCTGGAGTTTGTGGGTTCACCCAGTCTCGCCCAAACTCCTGAAAGATGTTTAACATTTTATCGGGACCTGGATGGAGAGGGGTGGGTTTCTGATTTGGTCTCCTGCATGGTTTTGGCTGCTTGGCGGGAGTGAGTCTGTGGCCACTGAGGGCACAGGAGGCGGCAAGGGGCAGAGGGTCTCTCCAGGCCTCAGCACTACTCACCATGGCCCCTGAGCCTACCTATGAGACCAAGTGAGGGGCAGCAGTGGGTACAGGGGCTGCGGTCCACCTGTCCCTTCCACACTCCCACCGCAGGTCAAGGTGTGGAACACCCTCAGTGGCTTCTGCTTCGTCACCTTCACAGAGCACTCCAGTGGGGTCACCGGTGTGACCTTTACTGCCACTGGCTATGTCATCGTGACCTCCTCCATGGACGGGACTGTGCGAGCCTTTGACCTTCACAGGTGATGGAGGAGTGGGTGCAGGTGATGGCAGAGGGCGAGCCGCACGCAGACTTGCCGCCTGGGCATGGACAAGGGGTGCTGACCTCGACTCCGTTTTCCTGGCAGGTACCGAAATTTCCGCACCTTCACGTCTCCACGCCCCACCCAGTTCTCCTGCGTGGCTGTGGATTCAAGTGGGGAGATCATCTCTGCTGGGGCCCAGGATTCCTTTGAGATCTTTGTGTGGTCCATGCAGACAGGCAGGCTCCTGGACGTAAGAACAGCACACCCCAAGGGACAGGCCCAAAGAGAGCTGTGGGCCTGGGGAAAGGCCATCACATTCCTGGTGTATGTTGCATGGGCCAATGCACTGGCTGGGGGCTCAGGGAGGGCCCCTTCAACCAACCTGAGAGGAGAGCGGGGAATCAAGATCACAGCCCTGAGGCCAGCAGCATTATTCAAAGGTCTCTGGCATGGCCTGGCCTCCCCTTGCGTCCCCTCACCAACATAGTGTGACAGCTGCCTCAAGCCCTGGCTCGACAGCCACAGCCTCTGTGCACACAAGCATCCAGTTCAGAGCTGCTTGGAGAGTCATGACGGTGGTTTCTCACCTCTCACCTCCTGATATCTCCTCTGCCCACTGCCATAGGTGCTGTCCGGCCACGAGGGGCCTATCAGTGGTCTGTGTTTCAACCCGATGAAGTCCATCCTGGCCAGTGCCTCCTGGGACAAGACAGTGCGCCTGTGGGACATGTTTGATAGCTGGAGGACCAAAGAGACACTGGCCCTGACCTCCGATGGTGAGCTGCAGGGGGTCAGTGACAGGAACAGGGACCAGTATCATGATACCCTACCATCGTCCAGCTGTGGTTTTTTCTTGTACCTGTCTACCCTGTTCTTAGCTGTGTGCTTGATGTAAACCCAATGTGTTCAAAGAACGATACTAAACTCAGCCTTCCTTGTGCATGATGGCCCCCGTGGTTGGCTTTTAGTCGGGGAGCTCTGGAAAGGAACATATGATCAGGCTCCTGCTGTTGGAGGAGGAGCCGGGGGCGAGGGGACAGCTCCTGCTGCTTTTGGAGCCTCCCTCCCAGCCAGGGTTAGAGCTTCAGGAGGAATTTCTCACGTAGCAGAACTGGTGGTACAATCTCTTGGCCTGGCTTGCTGGTGGAGGGTGCTGTGGGCAGCGTGTCTGGGATCTTCCTCAGGACCTAACTTCACATCCCCATTTAGCTCTGGCTGTGACTTTTCGCCCTGATGGTGCAGAGCTGGCAGTAGCCACGCTGAACTCGCAGATCACCTTCTGGGACCCTGAGAATGCTGTGCAGACAGGCTCTATCGAGGGCAGGCATGACCTCAAGACGGGCAGGAAGGAGCTGGACAAGATCACAGCCAAACACTCAGCCAAGGGGAAGTGAGTGTCGGTTCTCAGGCCAGCAGGGGATGTGGGGCTCATGCCGGGGTGCATTGGGACATCACAGAGGGCTTCCTGTTAGCCTTCTAGGGTCAGCATGCTCTGAGCCTTGTCTCCAACCCAAGGCCCCAATGGCCAGGTTCTCACAGCCTCTTCTTTTTTGCATAGTCCTTTGTCCTGAGACTGTTGAGCGTCTGCGGGTAGAGGTGGGTGGTCCCAAGAGGCCACCTCTTACTTAACTCCCAGTCTCCTGCGGTACCCAGCATGGGAGGCATTTGGATTTGCTGAACCCAAGTGCATTCAGCTGAAAGGCTGAATCCATTTCCAAACCTTGGTCACACAAGTGATGTCATCAGTCTGGTGTTTAAAACAAAAAAGCAGAAGTTAGTCCCTGGTACCTTTGACCTTCATAAGAGTAAATTGAAATGGCGCCTCACACGGGGAGGGTAGTGAAGATATACATGTCCCCTCATTGCAGGGGGGTGGTGTCAGATGGGCTGAGTGAGCTGCCTGCGCTGAGCTGGGACTCGTGTCCTGGGAGCAGGAGCAGGACCCACAGGTGCGGCCTTGTGGTCTGGGCCTGTCTCTGGGAGCTGAGGGGCTACCTGTGCAGCAGAGGGGTCCCCTCCAAGAGGAAATGTCAAACCCAACTTGCAAGTTCTCATGGGCCTAGACCCAGAAGTGGAATTGTTGGGTTGTATGATAATTCCACATTTAATTTCCCGGGGGCTGCCACACTGTTTTCCACAGCAGCTGCTGCACGCTTTATGGTCCCACCGGCCATGGATGGGGCTCCAGCTTCTCATGTCCTCCCCATGCCTTTTTGTTAATCAGAGCCATTCTGACAGATGTGAATTAGTATCTCATTGCAACTTGGGTTTTATGTGCTTGTTGGCCATCTGTATGTCTTCTTTGGAGAAATGACTTTAAATCTCTTACCCATTTTTGAATTGGGGGTTTGGTTTTTTGTTTGTTGTTTGAGTTTTAGAAATTCTTTGTATATCCAAGATATGAGACTCTTATCAGATGGATGATTTGCAACTATTTGTCCTGTTCTGTGAATTATCATCACTTTTTTTTTTTGTCTTTTTCCGTGTCCGGCAACGGATCGCAACCCTCAGTGTCGTCCCCGTACCGGACCGGGACCGGCAACGGGATTGCAACCCTCGGTGCTGCTCCCGTGCCTCGCTCAGCCAGCGAGCGGGAACCGGTCTGTATGTGGGATCCGAACCCTCGGGCGGGAGCGCCGCCGCGCTTCCCAAGCAGCGCACTATCCAGTGCGCCACCGGGCCGGCCCTATCATCACTTTTTTGATGGTGTTCCTGACATGCAAGATCTTAAGTTCCAGTGATGTCCAATGTGTCTGTTTTTTCTTTTGTTGCTTGTTCTTTTCATGTCATGAGAAGCTGTTGAGCAACCCAAGGGCAGGCTGCCTGGAGGGCAGGAGGTGGACTGGCTTCCTCTTTGTACCAGTGTCAACAGGGACACCCTCACTTGCTCAGTTCTTCTGTGAAAGAGACTTTGGCTGTCAGGAAGCACAAGTGTGTGTCCCTGTCATCTGAGGGTGGTGCTGTCTCAGAGCAGGCTGATGGCACTGCTGGAGGTCATGGGTTTAAATCACTTGCATGAGTTTGGGCTGTGAGCCTCAGAGTGCTGGTGAAGGGCAGTGCTTGCTTTCTAAAATTTGGAGGTAGAGTCTTCCCTACTTCCCGAAGTTGGTCCATTGATGGCCCCTACGTCCACATCTCCTCTCCACCCCAGGGCCTTCACCACTCTGTGCTACTCTGCGGATGGCCACAGTGTCCTTGCAGGAGGCATGTCCAGGTTCGTGTGCATTTATCACGTCAGGGAGCAGATTCTCATGAAGAAGTTCGAGATCTCTTGCAACCTCTCTCTGGATGCCATGGAGGTGAGCCAGTGGCTCCGGGCTAGGGCTGCTTCAAGTGCCAGTTGAGCATGTGAGGCTCCAGAGATCGGTGCTCCTGGCTTCCCAGGGCCCTGGGCACAGTGGTAGTCTGTGCTGTGCACACACGAGGTTGTTACTGTGGGCTGGCCCACAGGTGGGGTACCAGCACATGGTGGCTCAGGGGCCACTGGAGACCCATAAGGGAGGGAGCGAATGAGCAGATGCTAGGGCCCTGCCTGGGTGTGGCTTCCTGCCCACACTGTCCACACAGTGTCCACACACAGCCCTCGGCACTCCCTGCATCGCTTGGCCAGGCCCCTCCTCCCACTGTGGCTCCCACAGGAACTCGGGTTGGGGGCAGGGAGCCTGTGGAAACCTCTGAGCAGGGGTGCACTTGCCTGGTTCACCTGCTCAGGCCCGATTACGGGGCAAGAGGCTCCTGTGCATGGCTAGAAGCCCACCACACTCCTGAGTGTTTTGGGGGGAAAGTGTCCTTGACCTTTTCCTGAGGGAGTGGCTGCCCCCACGTGCCGGGTGGACTTCCCTGTGGGCTGAGAGTACTGCCCCCTCTTGGTGGTGGTGATGGTGGCCTCGTCTGAGTGGGCTCCTGTGCCCCGCTGCGGCCGACATCACATGCACCCTGTCTGCAGCAGGCCCTGAGGGAAGGTCTTATGGATTGGGTGGGGGTGCCATAGGACTCTGTCCCTGTTTCCTCGGGGTCTGTGTGTCCTGTCCTTGTTCTAGACAGGATTAGGGCTTGTCTAGCATCAGTGGCATGTGAGCAAGGGAGAGTGAGGTGGCAGGGCCACCTGCCAGAGGCTTGGCTCACGTGGCTTTTACCATTCTAGGAATTTTTGAACAGGAGAAAAATGACAGAGTTTGGCAACCTGGCACTGATTGATCAAGATGCTGGGGAGGATAATGGAGTCACTATACCACTGCCAGGTGTAAAGAAAGGTGAGTGGGCTCCCCTTCCATGTCCCCGTGGCCCAGGCCACCGTACCATGGCTCTGCTCGCCTTCTTTTCCTAGGTGACCACAGTTTTGCTGCCTTGATTGGGCTGCAGTTCATGAAGTCAGTAACTGTGATGGTATTGTGACGTTTTGGTGGATGGTGCCTGGAGAAGATCCTGGGGCGGGTGCAGGTGCCACCAGTCCTGCCAGGCAGGAGAACATGCCCTGTGTTGCTGCATGCGGCCTTCCTACCCAGCTGGGCCCCCTCGGTTTGCCCACAGGGCCTGAGCACCCACTTCTGTGCCGCATGGGGCACCAGGAGGATTCTGATGGGCTACCTGCTGTTGAGGTGCATTTGCCTCTAAGACAGGTAGAAAGCCAGGTGTTCTGGAAGACTCAGGGACATCCACCAGCCAGCAATCCCGTGCACCTCTCTATAGGCCCTGGGCATCAGATTGAATGCAGCAGACCCCCCGCTGGCCAGGGCCTTTCCTGGAACAGCCCGGCCGTCTGCTGGCCTGGCTGGATGCCCTTGGGAGCACCTGCTCCACGGGCTCGTCCACTGGGCAGCAGCTCTGTGAGGCCAGCAGCACCCGCTGAACCATGGCTTGGCTGTGGCACAGGGCTCCCTGCCCCATCTGCAGACACAGTGGTAGGGCTGCTGCTTACCTCATCTTTGTGCAGGGCCCTTTGGCAGAGGCGGCTGCTCTTGGTCGGGTCCCCGTAGCCGTCTGGCCAGTAGGGAGGACCTCCAGGGTGGCAGCAGCCTGGATATGCTGCCTGTAACTGTGATTGGTTCTCTTCCCCCAGGTGACATGAGTTCTCGGCACTTTAAACCTGAAATCAGGGTGACTTCACTTCGCTTCTCTCCTACCGGTGAGCCTCAAGAAATAGGTTGTTGGTCCTGGTTGGGTGTAGGACCTCTGCTCCCAGGGACAAGGTCTGTCTTGGAGTTGCTGGGGGCTCTGTGCTGCGATCTTACCCCTTGGGTAAGAATGTGACACTGATCCCTCTGGCTGCATGGTTGCCCTTGTCCCCAGGGAAGGATGCCAAGCTTCGAAAAGGAGCAGGCCGGGCATCTGCTCTTTGTGTACTGTCTCCCTGAGTGCTCCTCACACCCTGCCAGCTCAGGACCTTCCCATTGCCTCTCTTCTGCCCGGCCCCTTCCTCTTGTTGCAGGAAGGAGGGTCTATGCTAGGGACCTGTGGGACCTGTCAGGTACACATGGTCCTGGGGTAGTGGGGTTATCAGCAGATGCTGTCCAGCATAGATTGAGGGGGAAGAGCAAGGTGCAGAATAGCTCATGGTGGGTCACTGTCTTGTGAACCAGGGATCTACAGATCCTGGCCCAAGGGCTAAGTCCAGCACCTGATTTTGTTAACCGAGGTCATACTGGGACATGGCCACATTTGTTTGTTTGCAGATCTTGTCTGTGCTGCTCCCCAGGCACCATGTTGCATTGAGTAGCTGCAGAGACTGTGTGGTCTGCAAAGCCAAATAAATAATCTGCCATTAATGGAAAAGTGTGCTGGCTTCTGGTGTAAGCATAGAGATAAAATGTGTGTACACGTTTGCTTGTGTATGCATAGAATAGCTCAGGAGAGCACCGAGAGTGACCCAATTGGTTCTTTCCAAAGAGAGGAGCAGGGGGCTGCGGTTGGGGTAGAAGGAAGATGCCCAGGTCCCTCTTGTACTTTCACCTTTTGGATCACAGGAACGTATTCACCACTTCTTCCTTATTAAGAAAAGGGGGGAGGTGGACTTAAATTTTTAGAAAATTACTGCTTCATTTCACAGGACGCTGCTGGGCAGCCACCACCACCGAGGGGCTCCTCATCTACTCGCTGGATGCCCATATGCTCTTCGACCCGTTTGAGCTGGACACCAGCATCACCCCCGGGCGGATTCGTGAGGCACTGCGCCAGCAGGAGTTCACCAGGGCCATCCTCATGGCCTTCCGGCTCAACGAGAGGAAGCTGGTGCAGGAGGCCCTGGAGTCAGTGCCCAGGGATGAGAGTGAGCATTGGCCAGCCCGCAGGGTCCAGGCTGCCGGCCAGGCTTCTCATGTTCTTTGCAAACACAGAGCGTTGCCATCTTTTCTCGTAATTTGAGTTCCTTGCAGAATAAGCGTGGCTTTTCTTCCTTCTTTTACAGTTGAAGTTGTCAGCTCCTCTCTTCCTGAGTTGTATGTAGAGAAAGCGCTTGAGTTTCTAGCTTCCTCCTTTGAGGTGTCTCATCATCTAGAATTCTACCTTATTTGGACTCAGAAACTACTCCTGTTGCACGGACAGAAGTTAAAGTCCAGGTACGATGTGTTTCACCTGCTCATTCATCTGTGATGTGAGTCATTCGACTAGCTGCTCTGGGTATATAAGAAGGAAAACTTGGTGCCCAAACAGCAGGAGTGAGGCCTTTACTTACTGTAACACTGCAGTAAGTGCCACACACTGAGGGGACTCTCCTTTTCAGAGCAGGGAAGCTGCTGCCTGTGGTTCAGTTCCTCCAGAAGAGCATCCAGAGGCACCTAGATAACGTTTCTAAGCTGTACGTGTTGCTGGCATGGTTGGTGGGCAGGGTGGGGGAGGTGCGCTGTCTCTGCTGGTTCCATACTGGGGATTGTCCCTGTGTTGACTGATCTGGGGGACGAGAGACTCCTCTTGTGGAGGTGCTTGTTTTTCTCACCTGCCCGGGTGAACTGGCTTCTCCACAGGTGCGGATGGAGGCGGGACATGCCTTGGGTGCAGTTAGAGTCCTTCAGCCTCTCAGGATGGATGCATTGTGTTCTCAGGACTGGGCTCTCTCTCCTGGATTTGCATGTCACTTGCAGAGGCTTTGGGGGCTGGTCACAGGGCCTCAGGGCCAGGCTGTCTGGATTCCTGGAGGTGTGACTGCCATGATCCTCAGTTTCCCCAGGAGGAAAGTGGGGATGATGATGATAACATAATACCCTCAGGCGCCTGGGACAGTGCCTGACCCACCACAGGTGTTCTGTGAGGGTATCCCCCTTCCACTTCTCCATGTTGTCTCTGTGGCTCATGCATCTTCTGTCCCCAGCAATCTTCCTCCCTTAAGGTCAAGCAGAGCCTGGGCTGTAAAGGTCTCATAGCTTGGCCTTTTGACATCTTCCTTCCCTTGGCCACTAATCAGTTTCCAGGTGTTCTAGCTGCGATCCTGAAGAGTATGTTCTCTGCCCTGTCCAAGTGTCGCTCTGTTTAAGTCTAGGACCTGTGGGGTCCCCATGGTCCCTCAGTTTTTATAGTGAGTCTTAAGAGTCTAAAGCTAGCCCTTCCTCCTCGCCCCTTTTCTTCCTAAGTGTTCTGGCTGCCCTGCAGGAAGGCAGGGGCTGCGTATTCTGCGATCCGCTCAGGGAGAGCTGTGGTCCCTGCTGCGCTGAGCCTTCCCTTGGTGGAGGCGTCCTCAACTCCCACAGCTCTGTAGAAGAGCAGGACTGTGCACCTTCTGTCAGGGTTATCCTAGTTACTTGATGTTCTTTGGACTTCCTTGTGTAGTGATTTATTGCTGATTTGTAGGGATGCAGCTGGCTTTCGTTTGTTAATTTGGGGGAAGAGTCCTGCACAGTCATGTCACCTACACAGTGGTGTGCTTTATTCTTTTCTTATTGTTTTACCTCTCAGTTCTATTTCCTTACTGGGTTGTTTTCTATAAGAAATGATTTTGTGGCTTTTCTCCTTTATCCTGTTAATGTGGGGAATTGATTTGGAGAGTACTCCTCCGCTCTAAAACAACTGTGTAGCTCTGCAGTGGTGCCTTTCTCAAGCATTAAGTGGAACTTGCTGGTGAAACCGTCTGGGTTGGCCCAGGGGAAGGGCTGGGGTGGGGAGGATGGACCAGAAGAGATGGGGTTTTACACTCGGGGACTTGAAGGCCATCGCTGCTTCAGGACCAAGGGGGGTGGAAGCCAGACTGCCAGTGCAGGGAAGAGAGGAGGAAATGAATTGGGTGGGGAGGGACAGGGTTGGTCCTCACTGGTTTTTCCCAGAGAAGGTGGGTGGGTGTATGATGGCCAGTATTCTCGGGTAGAATAGAAAATAGCTGTTGCTTCTACTGACCTGATTCCTGTGTGCTGTTAACAGCTGTGACTGGAACCGCTATAACATTCAGTACGCTCTGGCAGTCTCCAAGCAGCGGGGCATGAAGCGCCCTTTGGAACCACCGGGAAGTGAGGCTGAAGCGGGAGCATCTGACGATGACAGTCTGCACCTGCTTAGACCAGCGGCTGGAGACGGAGGAGGAGAAGGGATGCTGGAGTAGGGCCGCCGCTGTTGCAATACCGGATTGTTTGGGTTAAGACCCACAGAAGAGATGAAACCGTTGTGCCTTCCGGGCCGGGAAGCAAGAGGCAATGCAGAGAGCAGCTGAGATACCGTTGCTGGTGACCTATTTCCGATAAGAGTCAAACACGCAGCCGCCAGGACAGCTGTTGGTTGGTGCTGGGTTGCACACACTTGGCACTCGGGGCCCTGGAACCGGGCGGTGTGAATAACAATGAATGTTGAAACATCTGCTGTTGAAAGGCTCACTGTTTGTAGACTCATGAACTTTGTATGAGAGTTAATTATATTTTTAATGTAAGTTTTTGATGACAGACTCAGATTAAAAATACGGAATTTTCTCCATAAGTGGGGATTGAGTCTAAACTCAGAATTAGAGCGTTTATGATGTCTCCCGGGTGTGAGAAACCAAATATCATCCGGGGGGATCAGAAACAGGTGAGCAGGGCAGGGAGCGCCTACTTAACTCACCTTACGGGGGCTCATGGGAGCCCCAGGGCTGGGATGCCAGTCCTCCCATAAGCTTGCTCAATCATCCGGGGGGATCAGAAACAGGTGAGCAGGGCAGGGAGCGCCTACTTACCTTACGGGGGCTCATGGGAGCCCCAGGGCTGGGATGCCAGTCCTCCCATAAGCTTGCTCAGACCTGCAGTGCCAGCTGTACAAGGGGCACATGGGAGGGGACAGCCCCTCCTCCCTGTGGTGCCCTTGGGAAGGGCTGTTGTGACAGCATCTTGGGCAAGCACAGCTGGGGTGCCTGTCCCTGTGGCACAGTAACTGCAGCCTCTAGAGTCAGGACACCGGGCAGACCCCATGTAGTGTGCCTCACCAACACTGTGGGTGTCATCTGTCAGGCCCAGCCTGTCACTCTCCAGAGGGGTGGCCCACCAGTTGGTGGGCACCACCTGTCTCCTGTGCTCATCTGGGAGGTGGAGTTGATACCTGCCCACCTGCCTCCCCAGGCTGGCGTGAGGCCAAGTGGGCTAGAGAGGAAGTGATGCATATGACGCCCGCTACACTGAGGGCTGCAGTGATCACCACCACCTTCAGATAGGTGGGCACTCTGTAGCCTGTCAGCACTCCGGTCACCACAGCATGTGTGCCCAGAGGCCTGCAGACCAGAGGAGTTTGTAGAAACAAGGAGGTCAGGCCTGGTATCATTGGGTGTTTTGTCCCTACACCATATCTGTGTGTAACTTAGACTGGAAAATAGAATCATTAGTGATTACCTGTTCCAAAACACAGTTTCCAATATTTCCCTCACCTCAGCCTTTTCTGTGAGTGTCACGTGTATGGTGACACACAGCTGAGCAGACCCGAGTGACAGTCAGCTGGAGGTGGGCCCTACAGAGGGGCCCAGGAGCCTGTGCCTAAGGCTCCAAGAGAGTGGCAGCTGCACCTGAGCATGGGACGGAGGTAGGATCTTGGCCTCCCAGACCAGTTAAATCAGACTGTGCTTTAGCATCTCCTTTCTCAAAGCGGATCTGACTGTTTTAGAGTTATCTCATGATCCTATCACTCCTATCAATTGATGTTCCTGGATGTGGTGCTGAGGGGAGAAAGGGATGGAGCAGCTTGTCCCCCGGGGACCGTGAGAATCCTGCATGCCTGTGGGAGCTTCCCCAGCAGTGGGGAACAATCAGAATGGCTCCCTTGGGTCCATCCATAGAAGTGGAGATCAGCCAGGGAGGTCCAGGAACAAGGACAGGAGAACATTCTGAGCTCATCTTTGGTTATAACTTATGGAATGTCCCGTGTTCTAGTTCACTATCTTGCGAAGATCGACAGTAAAAGTCACAATGGGCAATCTGAATCTTAGAATAGTGACAGCCTTTGGTTGAAACATCAAATGTGTCTGCAGAGTCCCAGTGTCCTCCAAGAGTGACCACTCAAAATTATTCCAAAAACTTTCCACTTTGAAAGTTGGTAAGTCAAAGGAAAGAAGAGAGCATTTATCCAGCTGTTCCCCTATGAGCCAGTCTGGGCATAACAAATGGGTCTTTTTTTAATGCAAGAATTCCAGCTAGTCCTGCAGGAAACACGCTTTCCCCTTATGCGGTGGCCTAAGGATCTACACGCCGAGGAACCGGGGCTGTGGGCATCTGGGCTCTTTGTGGGCCACGCGGCCACCATGGCTGCCCGCGGCCCCAGAACGCCCGAGCCAGGCCTCTAGGTGGAACTGCACCTCCCGGGACACAGGACGGCCGCTGCGCCGGGGGGACGCTCTGTGGGTCTCGCTTAAGCACATTAAGAAAAAATGGACGTGCGTGAGAACCTGGAATGTGACCGCCGGGTGTTCCACAAGGAGTCACTTTCGCCGGAGAGCACCTGCTGAAGCCGCGGAGCGTCTGCCGGAGGCAACCGCAGTCTCGGCTCTGCGCGGGCGCGGCCCCGCCCCCGGCGCGCTCGCGGGACGGGGCCGCAGCGTC